AAGATTATTTCCAGTTGGTAGTATGATGAATGTATTTTTTGTATAGGTTGTTTAAATCATATATTTTTCAAATGATATTTTTCCTGCTTAATTGATACACAAATTATGGCACAACTCTGTTCATAACTGATCTCCATGTGACTTTACTTATTTTGGTGTTGAAATATTATTACAGTTGTTCTCTTTCAGTGTATATCCATTTTCCCCTTGTAAACTTACAACTGTAGCTTTTTCTTAAGCAAAAATCTCTCTCAATTTTTTTTAAATTCATACCTATCTTTAAAGCTATTTTTTTTCATGTGTTGGTAGCAAGAAGAGAGAACACCATGGAAGTTTTTAGCAAATGAGTGAACATTATAAATTATAACAGTTATTATTATTGTTGTTTAGACAAAAAAATGTCTTTGTTTGTCAAAATGCAGCTTCATATAATGTGTGTGAGGTTTTATGAGAAGTTGACAAGGCAAGTTTAGCTGGCTGCACTTTGAGTTATTGCGTAACAAAGCGTTGGCTTAAACTGTATAGAGTTAATATATGCCTAATATTTATCTTATGGACTTATGATTGTAGAAAACTCAAATATTTAGGGGAGAGGATGTATTGTTGTATAAATATGTTATTCTTTTTGGTTCATGGATTACTGGATGTCAAAATTAGCTTAGGTATTATTTGACATAAAGTGTTTAAATTGGCAATTTTAAAATTGGTATCACAGTCACTACTGCCATAGTAAATACTTGGTAATTTCAGCAAGCAAAATATTTGTTGATAAATCAACAAGTCTAATATTTTATGGTTGGTAGATTTTCATGACAATGTCGCAATATATTGTAAAATAAGATTGTTTTGTAGGTTTCTCTGAAGTTTTTTTATTAGATTGGGTGTGATTGTGTTGTTGTCATCAGTGGCTTTTTGTTATTGGGCTCAGCCAGGTGCTTTCTTTGGCAAATTTATGTTTTTAACTCAGTTTAAAGGTATAATTAAAAAATGTCAGAATGCATTCATAATTGCATTTACATTAATAAATTATACTTGATTTGTTTTGCAAACTGGTGGTAAATTTTTTTTAAAATAGAGGGGGTTAACTATCTATAAACCCTCTACTCCCTGAAATGATCAATTAATCAATCCCCTTGCATTTTTTGATAGACAATTAAGAGATTGAGCCAAACAGAATTAAGAAAATTCATAATAATCATTGGGAATTTAAGATAAAGCAATAAGTTTTTGGAAACATTTTGAAACAACGACCAAATTTTCCTCACAAAGAAAAGTAAGCTTTCAGATTATTTGTCCTAATTCCCAATTACCTAGGGTTATCCTGATCCAAAATAATGATCAAAAGGCATATTAGCAATCCCCATTCCTGCATGGGATGTAGTCCATCAGCTGTTACCCTTGCAAATATTTTTAGGTTTCATTTACCATTTCAAGTAGCATTTAAGAGTTGTCTTATTTTAAAATACAAGGCAAAGATCTTGAGTAGTGATTAATTCAGATATTGTTAAAATAGTCAGGTTTGCAACCCACCAACCTATTCTATGACAAACTCTTCAAATAAATATCTTCCCACAATTAATGTCAGACTTTTTTGGTTCTATCTTGTTGCAAAACAAGGCACCAATGATCTTTTCCCTTAATCACAATGGTCATGTGAATGAGAAAACTTGTCTCTTTTGCTGTGCCTAAAGCCTCTATTTCCCTATGCCATATTTGCTTCAAGACAAGTTTGAAAGCAAAAGATTACAAAATTGTCAACTATTCACCCTGTCAAACACTGTAGCTCTTTCTGGACAGTGTGAATCTTTGTCATCCAGCAAAGTCGTACCATTCCAACTTTACTCATCATGAAGGGAAATCCTCTGGATTTATTGTCTATTACAGTCCATACAGTTGTTTAAATCATAACTAATAAAGCATTAAGCTAATCAAGGAAATGGAAGGAAATATAATTTCACATAAATTCCTTTGATGCTTTTAGACATTTTTGACTAATATTTATTCCAAATAAGTAAACCAAATGAAAGAATTCAAAATGGCAATTCTCAGAGAACCAGTATGTCCTGTGAACCTTGATCCAGGAAAACAAACACTTTATATTTGAATTAATATCTTTTATCATTTTCTAGAAGTTGAGAGAGTTTCACTAGATTGGATAATAGTCATGTAGATTACATAAAACTTTCAGTCATCTTTACAAATATCATATCCTATTTTGGGAAATGCCTAATATTTTCACCCACTTTTTTAGATCAGCACTCACTGGGCACAATCCAAGTGAGTATTGCGTGGGAGTACAAAGCTCAGATTATGTAATCCACCATTTTCTTACGCCTCACATGACGACAATACATCTTTTTAAGAGGGTTAGTCATTAGGGGCAATATAGCCAGCCTCGTGTATTGCCAGAGGGTCACTATCATACATAAACTGATCTCAATGGAAATTATCAGGTTAAATGTGGAGAAAAACATCTACATTTTCTTTTACAATTGGGCATAAATGTGGATATTTTGGGGTCATGTTGAAATGTAATGTAAAAAAAGATTGAATAACAAGACCAGTAGGATTGTATGATGGGGGTCAATACCACATAGGAACGAATCTTGAAGGAAGGCACTGAGTTGAAGAGAAAACATTTAAATGTTCTATTACAGTTAATGTGATAAGCTGAATTATACATGCATTTTAATGGATTCTTTACTCATAATCTATTGGAGGACAAACAGAAAAAAACATTACCACTAACGTCATTTTGCCTCTTTGTCATAGAAAGGAATTAGCTTTTATGTTGCTGCAGGTCTGTCCTGAAATAGATCATCGAAGATGTCAGAATTTGGTGAGAGCGTCAGAGACACACTTGGCTGCACCTCACGTGCCTTTTTTTGTTCTCACTACATTTTGACATCATCTGTGATCCATTACCAAACAGATGCACAACAACACAGAATTTCTCTTTTAAATAGCATATAATGTTAATAGTGTGATGTTAAGATTAATATAAATAAATAAGAAATAAACAACAAGATCAGCACTACATCACATGACCAGGTTTATTAAAAAAATCCTTAGAGCTTTGACACACTAGGACAGAGAAACTTTAAAATATATGAAATAGTTGAACAAAAAGAGAGAAATTGGATCTGTTTAACTTTTTATTCTGGAAATCTTTTTCAATATCTAGAATATATTTTTTTCCAATATCAACATGGAGAGTTGAAAGGTCCAAAACACAACCATATCCACTATAATTTCTATTAAAAGTTAGATCTAAAATAATATTCTTATCATATCTTTATATACGTAGCCTTGTAAATTTGAATCAAGAGTTACAAAATGAGAAAAAAGGGGTTATTACCACAGAAATATTCTCTTTCAGAGATATGCAATAAATCCACTATTATATATCAAATCATTGAACAAACAATAAGTATTTACAGCATCACACGGTTTCGATGTTTTTTTGTTTTTACATCATCTAGGTAGTGTATTCAATAAAACGTCTCTCTGAACTGAGGATAGCTGATCGGGAAATTGAATGTTATATTTGACGATCAAGTCACCTCTCTTTGAGGGATTTTTAGGCAGAGGAAGACCTTCGCCCTGAATTCGTTGTGAAGAATCAGGATTTACGATGCCACTTAACCTCATTTTTATCTTTCGGCCATCAATTGTAGGAACTTCGGCTAGTCCTCCGGTCAGGGCATCTCTAAGAGAGATGTCTGCGGCGTAGATTATGTTATTGTTGCTGTCCCTCGTAAACTTAGCATGCGGTTTGTCTTTGACTGTGAAAACCACATCAGCAGGGACGATACCAGGTTTACGATCACCCTCTTTAGGAAAAGTGATTTTTGTTCCAGCCTTCCACCCGGGCTTGACATTCACCGTCAATATTTTCTCTTCCGTGCTGAAAAAACCACGATCGTCCAGAACCTTCCTTGACACTTTCATCTTTTTCGTGCAGCCATTCACAAGTTCCTCCAGACTCACCAATAGATCTTTCTCGATCGTGGGATCTTGAATCTTTTGTTTCTTTGTTTGAGGCGCAATACAATCGGCGTCGAACGTGAAATTTCCCATATTATTAAATGTCGTGCCTGGCTTTCTACTCCTGCTATCATTAAAGAAGCTGAATCCCCCTAAACCGCCAATAAGGTCCGCGAATTCGTCGTCATTCTCAAACGCTCGAGCAAAAGTTTCGCGTGCATTTCCATTCGTGAAGACGAATGTTCTTGCGAAACCTGGTCCGCCTTGAAAACGCATGTTACTGTCGGTTCCACCGTTAGGAACACCATGAAGTCCTTCTTCTCCGTATTTGTCGAAGGTTTCTCTTTTTCCTTTGTCACTGAGGACATCGTATGCTTCGGAAATTTCTTTGAATTTGTCCTCGGCTCCTGGGCTCTTGTTCTTGTCCGGGTGCCATTTTAGAGCAAGTTTTCGGTAGGCCTTCTTGATCTCATCGTCCGTAGCTATTTCTGAGACGCCTAGGATCTTGTAGTAGTCTTTTCCCATTATTTCAACAAGGACTCGGTCCTTTCAACTCAAACACTTTACTGATTTGAGTCACCTACGTCAACGTGGTGCTCTTTATACTATGTGGCAAATTCACCTCGAATGTTCTGGAATAGTCTTCATAGAATTCCTGATAGGGGAGGGGTAGGTGTACATAGACACTTGACAAGTTTTTCACCTTCTCGTCCTTTTATCGCATACACACAAACTGTGAACTCTACTAGCTCTTCCTTCATCCTTATTTAGGGTAAAGAGGAGGAAAACGTTGCAGTTTAAAATAAAAAAGTTTACTCATGACTCATCAAAAAAAACAACACTACCCTACCCTGGAGACGAATTTAAAAATCTCCCAGGGTTTTCCCGTAGGTTCTACTCGTTATTGGAGAATGACTCGAATATGATTAAAAATAGGTAGTTACAAATCGTTCCAGTACGCTCTATCATTCTCTAGAAATATATAAAACTCTCTATAAAAGCAGGACTTCTTTTGCTTGGCCATTCAGAGATTTGAGAGCAGAAGAAGAATCAACGTTTGCAATAAGTTTACTATATTGACGATGTACGGTGACATAATTTACGGAGATCCATGGACAACTGGCTATCCACCTCGACGTGGTCATAACGAAGGAAACCTCTTCATGAGCTCGGGGGATTTTCACGGAGAAAGACCGTTTCCCTTTTGGGAAAACCCAGCAGTTTACTTTCCACCTGCCAACCCCCAAAAAGTTTCCACAAGGAAGATAACGAGACGGGCTCCAAAGGATAAACAAACGTTGGATGATACGAGAGTCCCATTGCAGCACAATGCAAGGGAAAACCCCTTTTCGAGGCACGAGGGTACGAAACCGAAAGGGGACACAATGCAAACGAGTTCATCACGGCCAAAGAAAACCCAAGATGAATGGAATATACCTATTGAGTATCAACCCCAGGAAGAAACTGTGACGACCAACGACTCTAGCGAGGAGGCTTGGAGGGAAGATCATTGTGATGCCACAAATGCACTGATTACAGATAATGAAGAACAAACCGCGGGCGAGACTGCAAAGACCTCAGGCGAACACAGGTGTATTCCAGTGACCACAGAGGACGAAAGTGCAAAGGAAAGTCGACCGGTAGTGAATAATCAAGATGACTCACCACCCGAAATACAAACTGCAAACGAACAGAAACTTGCGGCAATCAAGAATGAATTGGTGCGAGCCACAGAACTGATTTCCAGGGTGGTGGCCTTTAAAGGAACAAGGAAAGACAAAGAATTCCTTTATTTAGAAGAATATCTAACTCGTTGCTTACTTGGTCTAGACTTAATCGAAACAGACGGACAAGAGAATGTAAAATGCGCTCGAAGGGCAGCCGTGAAATATATTTATTCGATTCTCAATGATCTAGAAGATAGAGTCAGTGAAAGCTAGGGGTACTTGATAGACATGATCAGTATGATTATGTTGCTTTCTAAAATGCAAACTCGATCCAAACTCGAGGTGCTTCAATTTGGAACACTGCTTCTGTTCAGTGGTATATTATTTTGCGTCAATAGTAAAAAAGAAGATCAATGTTGACAATCAGATCTTAGTCTAATTTTAGTAAGAATTGTAATGCAACCTCTGTCAAAACTCAAACAAAGAACGTGAACAAATTTAGGGGGTTTTTTATTTTTATTTTTTTATTTTGCATGGAGTCATTCCTGGATTTAACTGTAAATAAAATTTTAATGCAAGTGTGTTATGTTAATGTTTTTCATGAACCTAGTTAAAAAAAAACTCAACCCCAGAAGCAATTGTTTGTGTTTAGAAAGGAGGGTATCTTTCGCGTAAAAAATTGTTTCTTGCAAAGGCTGCGGTCAACCTTTAGAATTTCAGGAATAAAATGTCTTACTCTTGAATCAAATTGAGTTGAATAAAACTACTGACGCCTCACAAAGCGAAAATTCTTTTCACCTGTTAAATATCTGCAACCACAAAGCCTCCAGTCGAGAACGGAATATTCAAATCACGCAACACGAAATATTCAGATCACTGTTTATTACGTCACGCGTCCGTAATTTTGTCGGTGTGTCACAAACGGAACACAGCTGTTGCATCAACGAATCGCCATTCACGCTGAAAGGAAATTATTTAAAAACTTCTCCAAGCGCTGATGTTCAATTTCTCGGTAAAGGAAAGAGTATTAAATTTTGATAAGATTTAAATCTATCATGACAGGTTCGACAACTGGTACGGAATTGGAACCAGCTTTGCCTGTCACATGCTGAAAAATGAGTTAAATTGTCTATTCTAGGAATCGTTGAATTCAAATACTCTTATTTTTAGGAAAAGCTCATTATTTTATCAAAAGAATAGGATTAGTAGATAAGTTTCACCTTACTCTGAGATCACGTACGTGTAAGTCCCTCTCCCCTCCCCTCTCATGCATGAGCATACAAAGTCAGGAAGTTGAAACTTGAAATGAGTCGATGCACTTAAGTAATGCTAGAAAATATCGAATATAAAGGTGTTTAACAGATTTCTTCGGAAAGTGACTTTCCACCACAGCTGAATAGAAATATTCTGACTTTGCTTTTCATTCGGTTAAAGTTATATGCAATAGTCTTAGAAATAGCTTCTCGATTATAGTGGGCGATTGAGATGGTTTTAAGGCATGTAAAGAAACAAAAATTAACTTCCTTAAGCGATGAAATGTTCAAAATCGAAAAAGTAATTCAAAGCTGTTATGATGATTCAAATATATAGGGATCCTCCAAGCGTCACTGGCAGTTCTAATCAATGAACTGCTTTTGACCTTTTATTGTTGTCCTAAGTAGTTCAACCATATAAGGTTGGGTTTTTAAAGGAAATTTCTTTAAACAGGAAACTCTAACGCAACGACTTCCTGCCCCCAAGTCGACGATGACATGGCAACCTCAGCTGTTTGACCTAATAAACTTTTCTAGATTTACTTCAAGATAATTTTGAACATCCGTATTTTCAGTTATGTTCTTTTTTTCGTTAACCCTTGTACCTCTTTTGTTATGATCGTAAAAACCAAAATTTATCGTTTTCTATACCACAGGAACTCGTATGCGACTCTTATCAGTCGCTCTTCTGTTCAAGTTCCTCCTTCAGAATCTTCAAATCTCGTTTACATACACTGCTAGGACTCTAATTCGCAAAAACAAAAATATCTTTTATAAAGTCAACTCTGGCATTGGACTTTCTTTGCGAGAGATGAGTTCGTTACATTAAAACAAGCCATTCGTAAATGGCACGATTTTTTTTTTTTAATATGTATGTACAAAACTATAACACTGAAGCCGATTGCACCCTAATACACAGCCAGCTGGTTTCAAACATGATTTACAAATAATTACTTTTTCTGCAACATGTTTCGTTTTAAGCTGATTTTTTGAATTTCATTTCATACAAAGTAGATATTTCTCCGTGATTTTACATCTCACGTAAAAGTGCACTTGAGATGATTATTAATGCAAATGTACATTTACAGAAGTCCTGCTTCCGCGCAGGGCTCGTTTTCGATATAAATCCATTGTTATCACTGTGGAGCATTTTACCATCAGCGAAGCTGTTCAATTTCTGCCAAAAAATACATAGCAGTAATGTGTCTTCGATTATCCTGGTTATTTATTATTCTCCTGCTCTCTTCTTTCCTCTGCGGTAAGCCTTCCCACAAAGGAAGGCATGTCCGCAATGAGGAAGTCCTAAGCTACAGATTGTTGACAGAATGCAGTAGTTTAATATTAATGAAAAATATTTCTCACACGTATCAGCGCAAAATCAGCTCCCATAGAAGAAATCCGTTGTGTCAGGGGTATCTCGAGTGAGAACACCTCTGCGATGAAGCTCCCTTTTTCGCCTGGAGTTTTGCTGCTGCATTCCAGAGTCTACAATAGGATAAACAACTTGCAGATGCGGCGCGGGTACGGGTAACGCAACTCGAGCTTGATCGCTTAAATTTCCAGGAAAGTTCGGCAATGTTGATTGTGAATAAGAAGGTAGATTAAGCATTGTCGTTTCGCCTCTTTCCTGCATCATTGCCACTTCTTTGTCCCTTTTCTCTCGTTCAAACGCGTTCTTGTACATGTCTACCTCTCGGGTGAGTGTCGATATTAGGTCTTGACAGTCCGTGATTTGTTCTGAAAGCTCGGAGACTTTACTCTGTGCCTCTTCTTTGTCACTTCTCTCTTTCTGAAAGTCATTTTCGTATATACTTAGCTGCTCTACGTAGAGCTCCAGCTCAGAACATGAATTGTCCTTTCCTAGTGCTTCTGCTAATCTCAAGATTTCTGACTCCAACACTGTTTTGTGATCCTCCAATGACATAATTTGCGCGCGTGATTCGCGCAAACTATTCTCAAGAGCTTCGATTTTCGATGCGAGATCTTCCGCTTCGCCTCGATCGCTTACGCTAACGAGGGAATTAGTATTAGAGCAAGCGGTAGAATCACTCCCTGCTGTCTCCCTTTCTCTGAGTCTCTTTCTCAAATCATAACATTCTTCCTTCAACTTCCTTGACAACTTACGTTCGTTCTCCAAATCCTCGTTCAATCGTCGTTTGTCTCTGAGAAGAGAGAGAACGTACGCGTTTGTTCTCTCTAATTCACGTTCGACTCTCGTTTCTTTCGCATCCGTATTATCATCCATCGATGTTTCGGATTTAAGAAATTTTATTCTTACGATCTGTACATGTCTAACCGCTCGTTCTCTTACCTGACTGTATCGCGTAATGAAGACTATATACCACCGTGTGCGGAAGTTATAACGTTGGTAACGTCACGTGACGTAGACTTCTCAGAAGCCCATAGTTCGAGGTGATTTCACCGACGTGAATACATATATTCTATTCCCACATCTATTGGTCTTTGCTCTAAGTCAAGCTAAAATATATATTTTTCGCTTCGAGTTGTGTCGAAAAGCAGCTGTAAGTTACGGAAATTGCATTGACATCATTAGTGATTGTTTTTCTCGAACATCCACTGCAAAAGTACGGGAAGAGAGTCGTAAGAATCAGACTTCCTGTTGAACGATATCACAATTTTGCGTTTTGTTTACATTCTAAACAGCAATATGGTAAAACATCACCACAGAAACACACTTGGTCGGAAGATATGTGTAAAACGTGATTCAGTGGTGTTTTTACAACCGACAAAATAATTTATTTTTTGGATCTCTTCGAATTCGTTTTGAATTCTGTCAGGACACGCACCTAGTGCAGATTTAATTAATCTTCCATTTTGAGCATCTTTGAATGAAAAATACGATAATAACCTATTTAAGAGAAAGAAACTGTAAGATTTTTAAGTCACTGGTCAAAAAGCGACACCCCGATTCAGCTGCTGAATTTCTAAAAATAAAAAGCTATTTCTTCGGGATTTTCCTTTGTCGGTGTAAGTCCCTTCCATATTAATAAACAAAGAAAATCAAGAAAAATGAAATAAAGAAAACAGTTTTTAACATCATTTTCGCTCAGTCATACTTTATCCTTTCGATTTTAAAACCTTAATTTATACATTAGCATCGGAGCGGAATGAGGAACATGCATTTGAGGAACATTTGAAGATGTGAAACCCCGTTCGATCAAACGGGAAATGAATACAGAGTGGGCAATTAGATCATCGATTGAAGTAGTTTTAATTTTACTTTCAGCGACTAACATCCACCTTTTAGCCACATTGAAGCCAAAAGAAACTTATATACGTGAATAACGTTAAAAAAGTAAGATAATCTGTAGTTTCAATCCCCGAAGCCTAACAAAGAATCTTCAAATTACAGGTTTTTCTTAGTATGCAAATATTGGAAACGTCCTAGCGTGACGTCTCTAGGATGTTGGTGTTCGTTACATGTAAACAACTCAGATGTCACGTTCTAGGAGCTTTTTTTTTCTGTCAGGCCGGATTTCCCCATGCTTCGAAAAACTACCTTTTCAGTAAAGGTTTTCCTTTACCGAATTACACCCACTGACAAAATTTTTAAACTGCTTTATTTGAAATTTACAGATTTTAACATAAATGGATGTCGTTACAAGATGCCACCGAGATGGCCATGTTGAGCATCTTGGTTTGGTTTTGTTCTTTTGTTCCTTCTTAAAACATCCCTTTCTCGTTGTTTACAAAATTCAAACTTTACCTTCAATTACTATGAAAAAATTTCAGTTTCAGCGTATTTGGAAGCATATTCTAATTTAGACCCATTCATAGTTCGACAGGAACATCTAAAGTTATGTAAGAAGTTGTTATTACAATTTTAATCAGAAATAATTTGTCTCCCTAGATGACAACCTGTATTCCATGCCACAATTAAAGGGAAATAAAAAGAAAATAATACCATTATCGGTGGTAGGGCAGAATGTAAAGGTTGAATCCCCAATTACACAAACTTGTTAACAATACCACGCGCACAACTGAGTGGGAACTATTTTTGGCCTATAGATAAAAAGGACTTCAGAATCTTCCTGTTAACAAAAATCAACTTTTTTCCTATTTCTTTATAAACTAGTGGGCAAGATGCTCTTTTTGAGAACAATTTTTCTAAAATTAAGCAAGAGCACAGAGACTATTCTTTCTCTCACTTCTGTGCTGGCCAATTTCTACGTAAATGGAGAACTACTGTTAACTTGTGACCGTCACAAACTTGCAGACCAAGTGGGACAAGACGTAAGACATGTGAGAAAGATTTTAAAGATTAAGCAGGCAGTCGTGTCTCCTGACGCTGTCAAATTTACGGTCACAATTTGTATAAGTTCATGTTTCTCACTGCTTCGGTATAAACGTGCATCCTCATGCTGTGATTAACCTTGTCGATAATTATGGGAAACTGAAGCCGATCAAAATCCTTTAAGCAAGAAGAAAGCACGCCAAAAAACCTTGTACTGTGACGCAGCCTGGGCCACGAATTTAGTATTTCCTTTACAGTTCTAAGAGACTAGTTCATATTTTTCGCCTGAGGTAGTGAGATTGGGAGGATTTTGGCGGGGATCACATGGTTTTTTTAGATGGAAACAGTGGGAAATCATTTATCTCTAGCAAGAGGACTATAGGATATGGAAAACCAATAAATGGGGGGGGGGGGGGGAGGGGAGAAAGGACCAGAAAAAGGATACAGAGGTTTAGGGCGGGAGTCTGGTAAATTTTATTATGACATTACCAAAATCTTTCGATTCCCCCCCACCCCCTTGGCAGTGAAAAAAATGACCTGTTCCTAGGCCCGAATAACTATTTCTATAGGAGCCCCTAATCACATTGTAACACCTGTTTGTGTCTCATTGTGTCTCTGTCTGTGTCTGTCAATGTGTTCACAGAAGTCTTATGACCTTGGTTTTTTGTATTCTTGCTGAAATTGCCAATGAACTTGAACACACCTGCAATAAACAATCTGTCAAAATGTAAACCGGATTTCCCATTAAAAAAATATTTCATTATCGCCAAGGTCAGTGAATCGAACAGGGTCATTGTACATGGCAGATTTACTTTTTATTTTGTGTGGGCGTAGTACAGATCACTGGCCAAAAATAGTAAGCTGAGAAGAAACATAAAGGTTATTAATATCTGGCTTTTTTGACACCCTTCAACAACGCTTTATCTTTAGAACAGCTCCACAAATTTTTCCCATTAAAAAAATATTTCATTATCGCCAAGGTCAGTGAATCGAACAGGGTCATTGTACATGGCAGATTTTCCTCTCTCCGTCGTAAGTCGCATGTTATCTGTTATATCGATACATACAGGATGCAATTATGTACGTGAGAAGTTATCGTCACAGATGTGAACATAAACTGTCTGACTGGCCTTTAAAACGTCACAAGATGAGCCTGCCTCGTTATTTCCATTAGTTCTTCATGCTCCTTATTGTTTTATCATCGCTTGTATTGTGTTTTTCTGTTTTTCTGTTATTACCGAGCTAATACTTTGTAGTCTCCACTAACCTGAAGGGAATTTTGACTCAAAATATCTAGTTGTAGATAACCATTAAATAAACAGACACGGTAGCTTTATTTTCTTTCCATATAAAAGAAAATTATTTTTTTCCTATCTCTCATCACTTATCCAATTCCAAGTTCCGATTCACATAAGATCAGTATATTTTACGGACGTTGTACAATGACGTTTACGAAGAACGTGCACCTTGTTACTCTTCACAGAAACGTGACTTGTTGCACAGACCTCTCTTTTGCGAAAGGAAGAAGAATCTTACAATTTTAGGATTATGCACCACTGTATCACTCAGAATTTCCTACTGAAAATTACCGGTTTTTTATTCAGTCAACGATTTCTTAGCTGAACTCTATTACGCAAACCAATCTGTGTGCAAAATATTCCTTGATGGACACGCTTGCCCACACAAATCGACAGGAACTAAGAGGAAATATGAATTAATTTGATTGATTTGTCACCCTAAGCACACACCGGCTATAAAAAACGTGCTATATTGTAAGCAAACATTTCAAAAGTGTTTACTTAAAAGCTTACTGCAAAAAAACGGGTGAAATTTGTAAAAGTTTCCTTGTACTCTGAAAAATGCTTTCCTTGCTTTTTCATTTACATTTCCCGCAGGTAAATTCAGCACGTGTCTCGTCATGCCATTTTAGCCTAGGTTTTTTCCTGCGAGAAAAATCTTCTTCCTGTTCATAATCATGAATTTGTTTCTTTAAGTCTTCTTGTCACATAAACAGGAAGCTTGAGATAGTGGAATTTAGCCTTTGACCACTAGAAGTCTTAGAGATCACAAACCACCGTGACTAGAAGATAAATTTATCTACTTTCAATGATAGTTCTGTCACTATCTATTACGTGACAGAGTAAATGGTGTAGGCAATCAGACTGCAATATTCGTTAAAGAACGCAATTAAATTTTATACCAAATCGGGTAAAAGCGAGAGTGCCTGCCTCTCATGGCTGTGGCCGTGGTTGGATTCTTGTACACATGAGCACGAGCTGCCAAATTTCGAGAGGAAGAATCGTAGTGCTTCAGTGCGCAATATGACATCAACGGAACAGCTATTAAAATTCGAAAAACATCCCGCCAATTTTATACATTTCACAAGAAGTCCTGGAGGTTGCGGTACGCAGACCAAATGAATTAAGGATAACGTTTCAACCAGCCTACACTAACTTTAAATTTATTGTACGAATATTTGTTAAAATGAAAAGAGATATTTTCTGACACTTAATACAAGCTTTTTTGACTGATTATTAATAGCTCTGACTTCCGCTTAATCAATTCTGTCAAGGAATGACATATTGTGAAATCCCTTTATCACTGCGGTTTAGTTACGACTCAAGGGTTTAAGTGTCGCAGGAAGAAACGGATTTGAAGCATTTTTTTTTTAATTATTCCAAAAAAATAATGCCTGCACTAAAATTGTTTTACGGTCTCCTATCTAAACAAACTGTTTCCTTTTAAGCTAAGCGCTAAAGGCACCATCCAGATCCTGTTTGTAATATTTGTCACGACCACATAAATATTGATCCTGCTTCAATCTTCAATTTGTCACACGTCAAGATACGCGTTATATAACTGAAGAACAATATTATTAATTGACGCTTTTGAATACACGAACAAAACGATTTCAGTTGTCTAAACAACCCCATTTCATCTTGGACCTGAACCCGTCCCTCTTGGAAATACCGTTGTGAGTTGCCTTCAACTATGACGATCTCTGCAGACTACATGTATCTCTCCCAAATTGTTTTTCGTTTCCGTTGAGAGATCACAGAAGTCTCATCTTTGACCTCGCTTCAGCAAATTCAACAAGGCCTTCTAACCACAAAGCGCATTCCAGAACGGTAGCCTGTCAGCAGCACTTGATTTCAACTTCCTGTATAAAGACCTCTCCGTTGAGCAAGATCGAAGAGATTATGCCTCTGATGAAAGTGGAAGTGTTCCAGAGCGTTTTGACGCCGTCCAAGACATAAGCAAATTTTGGCCTTATAGTTCTCAAGAAAAAGTTTCTTAGAAAAATGAACATAAAGTCTTCTCCCTCTGTGATTAACCAAAGGATCTCAAGCAAGGCTCGACTTTCGCTTCAGCAAAGTCAACACGGCCCTCTCACCGCAAAACGCATTCCTGAACGGTCGCCTGTCAGAAACACTTGATAATATGCACCTCTCCACTCCGGAAAGACGAAGTGTACAAGAGGATTTCGATGCCTTCGAAGGCATAGGCAGACGCTCTCTCAGGGTGGTATGGGGGGGTTAAGTGTGTTTTAAATACACGAGTTTTCGCAATAAAAGTACAAACAGTTTTAAGAGCCTCTAAAATTTCCAACTTCCTTACATAGAATTCTAGGCTTCGCCGTATACAAAGATGCACAATCATTTCCTGTATTAATTGAACAGTGTTGAATTGTGTCTTTTCACCTTGTGGCTTTTTGTCGTTTAAGCGAAACAGGAAACCAACATATCGATGATACAAAATACAAAAGGGATGTCAGTTATGACGGAAGTCAACACCAGATAATATCGGAGTAAACGCGGTTTTCGCTGTGACATCAAGAACCCTCAATCCCTTACATAACCACACTCGAACAGAAAGCATGCCACGTCCTTGTTACAGAAGCAAAATAGTTTATCAGTCAGGTATTTCAAGATATCGGAAAAGAAAAGTAATTTATCAACCTCCATCACTTTTATCAAATAGATAAATAAATAACGTGCTATATATCACACGATTTGCTAAACAATCGAAGTCTTAAATAAATTTCTTCGGTTCGATAATTCTTAAAAAAATTCAAAATTCGAATAACAATTGTTCCCATTTTCCATTTTATTGCCCAATATCCTTCTTTCACTATCCACAGACATTCCTTTGGCGATCTGCTAAACCGGCTTAACTTTCACTTTACCCGAACGTCTCTGTGAAGCAAGTGACAGCGCTTTACTTTCGAAAGGTGATTTATACTTCCCATACGCACACAGTCCTAAGCATTTGGGGTTCGTGAGGCCTTCATCAGCAGAAGAGACAACGATCGTGATAGTTTCTTAACCTAAATTTTGATATCTATTTATTTACGATAATTTTGGACATTTTATTAGCCCACTTAAAAGTTATATGCTTCACACAAGCTGCGTTTCAGTCCTCATTAACACAGGTGACGTGACAGTTATCACATTAATATGTAACTAAAAACATTTCGTATAAAGAGTGAATAAATATGACAATAACAGTAGATTATGTCGATTCAACTGTTACTCCATATTCAACAAGGGGTTGAAGATTCTACATAAATACATTGAAAAAGTTCTACGGCTGTGTGACTCGTCGTGAGGAGAAGCACGAAACTGATGCTGTTAAAATATACTTCAGTCTGTTGAATCTCAGAGTTAGAACCTATTTGTTACTCTATATTATCGTAAATATTTTTATATTCTGATTTGAAAACTACGTTAAAGATTACCCACCTTTCTCCCAACAGGATCAAGTTGAGGGAGGGGTGGGTTGGAGAGAAATGGAGGTAGGTTGGGGGAGGGAAGGGGGCGTGGCTGTGATGGGCTTGAAAGGGAAATTAATATCATGTAACGTAACGTTATCAAATTCATCACTCTCACTGATTTTTTCCTCTGATCAAAGACGGAGGTTATGTAAGATTTTATAAATAAACATTATAATTTTCTACTCTAGCGTAATTAGAAGTAAAAAAAACTGTTCTAGAAATGAGAAACAAACAAACAAACAAACAAAAACAAAACAATACAGAACGGAAAAAAAACGTGTTAAATGGAAATGAGCACATCTGGTATCTAATTTAAGGAACTGTTTAAAGATCTGATCCAGAGGGGAAAACCCCAGTTATTTCTGGATAGTAACTTTCTTTTTCTAAAATTAGCACTTTCTGAATAAAAAACTTCTGAGAAGAGCGTTGTTTTTACGTCCACTTTGCAAGAAGGGAAGTGTAATGCTCTAAGTTTCTTCTTCGCTGCTGCTGAAGGTAGCTTTTTCCCGCTGAGAGCTGAAAAGAAAAAAACATGACTCTTTTGAATAGAAACTAAACATTTTGAGTAAATGATGCATCATATTAAACAACATTCGCGTCAGATTTAAATCTGGCGAAAGTCATATTTGAACGATACAACATAAGCTGCTGAAGGAGAGCTAGGGCCGAGTCAGAGCAAAGTTTCCCATCGAAACCAAAGGCAGGACAACAACACCCTTCCACTTCATACAGAAATCACCTAATAGGTAAATAAGTGAAAAATTTAAAGACATATTTCAAACTGCTAAAAACCTTCAATACACCCTCCAAACACTTACATCTGTGTACATTTGGTGAGTTAAAAAAAATAGCAAATTAGCGAATACATGTTCTTATCCTACCGCCTCTAAGAGTTATAGAAAACGTTATCGGGTGATGATTTTTCGCTTAACTTTTTTTACCAAAAGGAAAACCGTAATAAATTTATGTCCAGTCTAGTGCTCATTCTAACCCGTTACCCCTAATTACTTTCGATACTCAATGAGAAATTGCTCAACTGCCGGCATTACTGACGTTCGCGCGCACAACTTATGGTATAACCCCCCACCCACCCCCACCCCTTCCACTGAGCTGAGAGAATCTCTTCTTTAATTTAAAGAAACAGCGGCGTGGAAGGAGAGGGGGGTATTGCTCCTCACATACATGGTTAGACGAGAATACGTTTCATGAGAAAAAGGATAATGATAGCTCATGACGAAATTCAACTCCTTACTTGTATATCAAGGCGTCCTCATCTTCAGACTCGTTCAACATCGAAAATGTGGACTGATCACGAAAATAGGACTCTACAACAACCAATAAGAACAAAGGTAAATATCACAATGAGCCCATGAGACCTCAAAACAAAAGCACAGAAGCGCGGTAGAACGAGAGCGACCAAGTCGTGATTGGTTTAACTTTTGCATCTGATTGGTTGATAGAATGGCGCGAATTTTTTTTAGACCAAACATGGTTTGAACGACATTTTGAGTTTATTTTCGGTCCATAGAAAAATACATTTCAAAAAAAGAACACCGTAAAATTAACCAGCAAAAACGAAGAATATGAAATGGAAATGTCTCTATATTAAAGGGGTTAACACGGTGTAATGGCATTTCACGTTAATTTTCGTTCGCCGACACAACCAAACGAGAACGAGGAAATTACATCACGACACGGGAGTAAAGGACAGGGAGGATCTTGACATTCTTGTGATGGGGGGATGTTCGAACTCTGATTAAGAAACATCCCCAAATCATCAAAAATTAGCCGGTTGGGTCGCAATATACAATTCTGCTGTTGCAAGGTCTGCAGGTCTAAAGGGGAAAGAGGTTCTGCAACTCTCCAAATGTGAAGAGAAAGGAGAAAACTAAACAATAACCAGCCAGACAAATTTGATAAGGACACACGTTGTCTTACCATAAAGAGCATTCTTGGATGGTGAATACACGAATGCCATGGTGTACAAGTAGAAGTTGAGCAATCCAAAAAACGTCAGGAATTCAGCAGGTATTCAGTGTTAAAGAATACACTTTGAATCCTTACAAAGCAACAAATTTGACAGACATGTCTAACAAAGGTGGCGAAAAAATTACTGGGAAACTGTGGTTTGGGCAAGTTTTGATCTCAGCTACTGTATTCAAAGTCATTTGATTACCAATACGCATTGACCCATAACAGCGGTTTTAAACCATTCTCACCGCCTATATGCCCGACAACTACCTGATTTGCTACAGAAAAATAATCTACTGATCAATCCTTGGACTGAAAGGGTTAAAGCTAACTCTTGATAAAAATTTGTTAGGCAGAAAAAGAAATCATTTTTGTTATTAGTGATTGCTTGTTAGAACAAAAGGATATAATTATCATAGTGTGTTTCCAGTTCTGCAACAAAGTTGTCCTGCAACACTCCAGTCCCAAACCGAAGGCCTGTGATTACCAGACTGAAATACAATTGAAGAGTTAATTAAAAAAAAAACAAAAAAACCAGGTGATGAGGTACACATAAACGATAAGGCATATGGCTATGGAGCTATCAATCAATGCCAAACCCTGAAGGGTTGAAATTGTGAACAGAAAGTTGCCATAAAAATTATTTGATGAAAACTGTATTTCTTCAAATAAGCACTCATGCCCAAATAAGTGCCCCACTACTCCTTAAAATTTCTTCAATAGTAGGGATACAAGGAAAACCTGTTTCTATTGCCATTTCATTTACAATTTTTTGAACTTAAACAGCAAGGGAATCAATACAGGAGAAGAATAAGCACCCCCTCAATTAAGTGTCACCTTCCCTCCTTGTATCTGAAATTTTGAAAAAGCGCATAAGTGCTTATTGGAGGAAATAAGTTAATGATAATCCCACCAACTCATAAACTGTTCAAAGACATCAAATTGCACCTTATTTCATTGGTTTTAGGTCTTTGAAAAGTTTACTGGTCCCTATATATATGTATTGCAAACAGCACCCAGAATCAATTGATTACCATTACATGTAAAGTATGGTTAGTCACTGTTAAACTTATAACAAAGATTATACTGCATACCTTATTGTCAAGACAATCAGCATAAGACCTGTGAGGAACTTAAGGCGAACATCTGTGAACACAAAGTGGGAGAACTTTAACAGATAAGTTAATTTAGGCTAATTGCTCGTAAGTTGACAGGTGGAGGGCTGACTTTTACTGCCAATCCAACTTTAGTTGAATGTTTTTTTGATAAATGACTGCCATATTGAAAAAAACAAATCTTGATCAGCATTTGGAGTTAAGAATTACCTTTGATTACAACATTACTTTCAATTCCAATTACCTCAACAAGGGAAAAAAACAAGAATTAAAAAAATCAGGCAAATAAAAATTGCCATTTTTCATCTTAGATACTGCATGACTTAACTCACATTTGACAGCATGTGTTGTAAAACCGTTAAGATTCTGAAAAGGAAATTCAATAGATAACTACTTCTCTTTTTTGTCTCACATCAATATCCAACTTACCAAAGTAAGGCATGGCTCTGAGCTCACTGTATGCCCTGAATAACAGGTAGATCAAATACACCAGGTAAATGGCACCAATAGTGAAGAACATCACCTTCAGACCCTGTGAAAAATGGTCACAACATTCAGAGATGAGCATGCATCTAAATAATCATTACAAACCACAGATGCAAGACAAGAAATCTGTGAACAGAGTCTTTAATTTCACTATGGATATACCCAGAATTTTTTTGAGGGAATTTATTCTTGCAGATTGAGGAAATTCTGCAAAATCCACCAAAATTAAAACCAGCAAAATTTCCATCTTCTCCCAATAACATCCACACATTATCCAGCCAACATGCAATGAGAATACTCAAACTTATTGGGTAGAAGTTAGTAGTCTTGATCTAACACCACATTCTTGTTTTTGTGACTAAAAGGAAATGTGCAGCAGCCAGAGGGGAGAACTAACAATCAGATCTTGGGAGTTAAAGGGTTAACATAGATAGCTAATGACAAATTTTCACTTATCATGACAAAACTCCTGTATTATATTTTCAACATCCTGTGCTTTCTTACCATAAAATGGCCAATATCTATCTTGTATTGGTACGTGGGATCTTGTAACTCATTATACCTGTCAAGAAAGAAGTATCTTTCATCAGATCACCTTAATATTTCCACCCTCCTCCTCCTCCTTAGAGAGGTCAACCATGACTGTAGTTCAAACTGATCCTGGAAATAAATGAATGCAGTACCCTTTGTTGCACTGTGTACTTTACACTTTTTTCAAAGGCTTAAGCAGCATATAAGATTATTCAGGTGCAGCATTATTACAACCCCATTTGCCAATAAGATACTCTTTCAGATGGTTGCTAACATAATTACTGAGCAACCAAATCAACAAAGCTTCAAGAAGAAAATGGAATGTTTTTTTTCATTAAGAAACCAAAGATTTGTGCAGAATAAAGCTTTAAATGGCTTTTAGTCCAACATCAACTTCCCCCCACGTTTCAGAAAGGAAAAAAACACTTGAAAGAACTTTTTGGTTATCTATCACAAGTCAGTGTAAGCTTCTTCCTATGTACCCCTCAAATGAAAACTTACTGTTGCCAAGATGACAGGGTGAATGATGCAATCCATAGAAGGCCAACTATGAGAACTTTTGGGAGATAGAAACTTAATTTTCTTTCACTCTGTTTTAAGTAAAAAAAAAAAAAGATTTCAATGAGTTGTTTCACATAATTCACTACCTTAAGAGTACTACTCAACCACAAATGCAACTACCCCAATTCCATGACTAGACTGGATGTTGCTCTTCATTAAGAGAGCAAGAAATTTTTCATACACACCAACCAATTGGGAAAAGCCTCAAACATGCTGTCTTTTCAATCCATTCAAGTCCAGAAAGGCAAATAATGTCTTAAAAAACTGGGTCTTAACAATGTACTGAAATCAGCTGTCTATTACATCTAACACTCAGGCATTCTTTTTGAGAGAAAGGGAACCATGAAAGAGGAGGACTTTTCTCAAAAAGGAATATCTGATTATAACTCATTGAAAGTAACACCACTGCTACATCTGATCTTTCAGAACTCATTTCAAAATTTTCTGCAAAAGAAAAATCACCTCTTCCATACTGATAATAAGAAGAAAATTTTAAAAACCTGTCTGATGCCATGGAAGGCACAAAGCCAGAAGAGCAACAGGCCACAGAGAAATGATGCCTGGAACACTGAATCAAACATTCCAGGAACCCAACTGTTCACCAGGAAGTTGAGAGGAAATAATGGGTCTATTGAAAAAAAAACCATAATGAAAACAATAAGACTAGTATAATTTAAGAGCTGAAAAGAGTTTTCAGTGGATTGTCTAAGTAGTTACATCACTCCTTGTTTAAGGTTAGGAATAGTGTATAAGGCGGTGAACATAACTCCTTCTGTTTACAACAAAACAAAATGAGTGCCTGTGGTTGGTTTGGAAACATTTCTGACAGAGACTGAAATGTTAAAAAGGGAAAAGAGAAATAAATGTTTGCTGTAAAACTTAAATAAAGCACTACCAGTCTCTTACTTTGCACTCAAATTTCATTTCCATAGATCACCTTAATTTATTCCTAACAGCTCCTCAAAAGTTGTGCAACCTCTTTGCAGAACTCTGTTATCAGCCAAAATATAGATCATCCCCATGGAGGAAAAGTTTTCTGCACCAGCTGAGCTGAGATGAAACACTCCCTCAGAATTTTCAACCCAAGATCTATCAATTCTCCTTACTGTCTGTCATACATTTCTCATGTGTTTGTATCTTAAAATAAGTAGTTGTTGAATTAATCAGCAGCTCAAGTTGATATTTTACTTTCTCTTTGTGATCTTTTTATTTGACAGAGTCTTGATGCTTTCTAGCACAATAACTTATTGATCACTCCTGCCAGTGAAAAGGTTGAAGGAAATCACTTACCATTGTACAACAGCAGTAGTGGAAGAAGAAGTGACATCCATCTGAACAAAGAGAAATTTATTAGATTTAGAGACACTTAATTGTATGTAAGACTGTCACAGATTTTTTTGCACAAACAATATTTTTTTTCAAGTATGATTCTAGACCCGATTATCAGCAAAAAAGCTTTCAAAAAAAGTTTACAATAATCTCATTATCAACTCAACAACATGTGGATATCTATTCATCCTAAAGCTACATTTGTATGCTCCAACAAATGACAAAGACAGTTCAAGCATGGAGAAACGCATGCTTGAAACTTGTTGCCTAAAGATGAACATCAGGAGTTGCAGCCAATAGGAAACATTTCCACCATATTCAAAACTACACAGGTGCTCTTTAAACAGTGTTTTTATAAATAATTGTAGGAAACAAAAGCTTGTAAGTTACCAATAAACTGAAATAAACTTGGCTTATTGATTCTTTACCTTGATATTAAATGCAATTCTTCATTTACATGTGACTAGCAGCAAAAAAATTCCATTCATGAATTTAAAAAAATTGTCTCAAGGTTGATTAACAATGCAATTGATGTGATGCATAAATAATAATATCAAAGTTAAAAGCCAGAATTACTGCATTGAGAGACTATGCAAGTTCCTTACTTTTGTTCTATAGACCACTCTCGTAATGGAAATCTTCTCAATGAGTGAGCAAACATACACTGAAACCAAAAAAATCACAATTTGATGACCTTCCAGAGACCTGAGGGCTACATTAAACATTTCCTTAAATATAATCCTCTGTGGTGAATTATGGATATTTATAAAGGACTGAAATTTTAGTTTGATAATCCTAACTTTCGGTTGTTTGGCTGGATCCCTTAGCAGCAAACATAGAACCCATGCAAAGTTGTCATACTCCCAAAATTAAAAGCTCTTAAGCACAGATTGTGGCTCCATCCTATTGTGATGTTGGGATTTGATCCTAGCTAAAACCTTAAAACTTTTTCAAACTTTTTTTCCTGCTCTGTTTTTAATTACAGTTCATCTTTTAGGAACAGTTCTCTATTTGAAAACAAGTTAACATCACTTTCAACCAGGTACTTACTGTAACCATGAATGTAAGGACAAGGAATACAAATCTGAACCAGATTTCAACTTGACTGAAATCAGCACTGTAATGTTTCAACTGCAATCAAAGTGAACAGTTAGTCATTAGTTTGTTGCACCTCTGAAAACATTTTACAGGTGAAGAATTGATGAAGCTATGCATTCATTTGTAAATATCTCAATTTACAATCTGCATCAACCCTTTCCATTTCTAATGATCCTCATTCCATTTTTGTTCATAATTTCCATTTTGATGTTTTTCTATCGAACCAAACTAAAATTCTGTGGCTTCTTTCAAATTAAAGGTAATTTTACATGCTAGCTTATTGAACCCCAATGTAAGATGTAATTCCATTTTTGTTCATAATTTCCATTTTGATGTTTTTCTATTAAACCAAACTAAAATTCTGTGGCTTCTTTCAAATTAAAGGTAATTTTACATGCTAGCTTATTGAACCCCAATGTAAGATGTAAATGTATCATTTATTCACAGCTATTTAACTCCAAATTATGAAAAAAACTAACTTGAATATAAAACTATTGTGTCACATGTTTGAGAAAATAGTGGTGAATCAAATAATTTTTCTGCCAATGCAAATTACATGTCTAATATGAGCTTCAAATTACATTATTTCCTCTTCCCTTTAACACATTCACATTGATATCTTATAAAAAACACTGATGAACAACTCACAATTTCATATCTCAAGTACAAAGGCTTACCACAAAATCAATGTCTCTAATATCTATTCCTTTAGGAAATTGGAGGCCATGAAAGTTGACAGTTGCCACATATGATGGATAATCAAGATATCCAAGATGTAAAATAACCAAAGGATTACATTCCTGGAACCAAAAAGATAACCAGACAATAACTTAAAACATGTAAACCTGGAATTTACTTGTATTTCACCTGAGGACAGTTTGCTATTTAGTACCTATCAAATACTTCTTAATATAAATTTTTTCTGCAATGGACTTCAGAGGATGAAAATTTTGGATATTGGAATTTTTAGTGTGTGTGTATGTGTGCTATGCAAGAGCAACTTTCCCATTTGACATTATAGTAATTTTTGTTGAGAACTAATTCTTGTAACTTTCTATTCAAACACTTTTTTCGTAAACTAAGGTGGCCAAATCACACAATAATACATTGTAGTACTTATATTTAGAAATCAGTTATGCTTGGTTGACTGTTTTGTTTCAATAATGTTGCAAAATTGACCAAAAATAGTTAATTTAACTACCATTAATTGCAGATGTAGCTTATAGTTGCTGATGACTGGAATAAAAAATAGTATAGGTAGTAGAAGGTAAACAAAACTTAACAATTGTCAAAACCTCTTTGACTCAATCTTGATGTAATTGCTTTATTGAGACTCAGCACTGCATATTATTTGTGTGTGATCAAAAGAAATTTGTGTAATATCCTGTTCTTTATTTAAAATTTCAGGGGGAAAACCCCATCTTCAAATGTATTGACTGTAGTGTGAACAGGGCCATAGACTACGAAGATCAACTTGATAATAATAACAACAAGAAAATAAGCAAAGAACCTCAAACCTTTTGACATTGCAACTGGCGAGTCCTGTTGAAAGGAGTTTCAGCTATTAAATGATAACTACTGTCCTTGGCTCTTCCATAAATCTTAACACTCAGGTGAAAACTGTCTGAGAATGATGCCCCTACAAAAAAATGACAAAAACATGCAAGAAATACATGTATTAGTAAAAAAAAGGCAATTTCTAGGATCCCCCAATGCTCTTTTGTAAGATGAGAATAAGAGCAGCTCTTAATCTTTTGATGTGAAAATCATTTTTTAGTCTCACACGTATCGCACTCAGAAAATAGATTTCACTCAGCAATACCCAAAAAGCAATATTCAGCTTTAATACAGTTTGTTTAGTAAACTGATAAGCTAGATTTTCTTACAACTTCCACAATAATCACGGTTGTCAACTGAAGCTAGTAGGCAGTATACAGGAAGTACAGTGCTTAAACTATTAGTGGTGTAGACAGCTCAGGTAACTTAAGAGACAGGAAATAAGTACAGGTGTACTTTTGAACTGATTTTGAAATCAATGTATATTAAAATATGCTCTAGCAGAATACTGCCAGGGCATATTTAGCATAAATCTCAGAATGTTTCAAAATCTCAGAATGTTTAAAATTTAACTTTTTTTGCATGTTGCTTTGCAACATGTTATGCTTCCTATACAAGCAAAATTCAATTCAGCCACATACTCAGCTAACATCATACACCTATCACATTTTATAATGACACACCTGATAATGCTTTTATACTCAATTTCAAAACAATATTACAGTATACCTGCTTTTGTTCCATTCAGTTTGATCTGGCAAAGTAACCAAAGTTGTTGATTGAAAGTTGATAGGATACCTGTGTCTATCTGAAATGGCCCAGTCTGTAGATGAAAGAAGAACTAAAAACTTTTAACTTACACTTTAACAACAGCAGGGAAGCAAACCCCATGTTTTGATTTTGCAGTAATTCAATTTGTTAACCATCTTTAATGTCAAGGAAAAATTTGCATAGTGGATGAGTAGTTGTACATTGATCTCTTTAAATACTTAAATTTAAAACATGTTATTTTGAAAACAACTTGCTGATTGCTTTTATGTTTCCTTACCCCTTCAAGTGCTACACAACTTGCAAATATCTGCATTATTACATGCTAAACCATCAATTAAGGTGTACTCATTACATATGAACTGCATGTAAATCTACTCACCGACAACTTTCCGCTTGGTACGTGAAGGTTTGATGCACTTTGGGTATGTTCAACAATAATGCGAGGTCCTGTAAAAAGAAGCAAATGAAAACAGTTGACTTAAGTAAGAAATAAAACAGTTTCAACCTTACACTCTTACATCAATAATAACACTAAAATACTTCTAGAAATATCTTAAACATGATTGATTCAATCACAGAGTTGCATTAATCAATGAATTAACTACCCTGAAGTCAATAAAACAAAAGAACAGCACCCTTAGAAATGTATAGAGAATATTAAAGAGAATATGTATGCTGATGTTCAAGAGGAGCGAGTTAAGATATCTGGAATCATGAGTCAAGACAGGTTGTGTTAATCAGTGGAGAGTAACACATTGAGTTGACAAAACAGCAACAAACCGACTAAAGCCAGTCAAAGTTTGCAAAACTCATACCTTGCTCAGTAAGCCATAAAAATTTAACAATAAACTTTTACTTTGATTTATATGCTCTAATATATCATATAATTTGAGTTGAGTACAGAATAAAACACTATTCAAATATTTGTGTCACTGTGTTTCAACAGACACCAATCTATACTGATTCTGCCTAGTTTTACAATCACAGTTGAGTCACAAGTATTTCTTTACACCCCATATAAATGAATTCACCAAACAATTAGAATATCTGCTTATTTCATGCAGTGTGACTTGCAACAAAAATTATGCTTGAAATATTGAAGATGTCATAAGGCTATATGGATATTAAAGCAGTGTTTTCAAATTTTCAAATTGTTTTCAAGACAACTATTTTTAAAAGCTTGGTGCCTCTAAATTCAGTTTGTCATGTATATCAAATTTTTATGTCATCAACCTTCAAGGTAACTGCTGCGACTTTCTAATTATTTCAAATCAATACAGTTGGTTTAAATCAGCTGAGATAATATGGTTTTTAAAGAGAAAGCGTACATGAATATGTTACACCCACTATCAATAGAAACAGAATTCTTCTGATATCAAATTTCAATTTGGTTAACTTCCTTAACGAACAATTTAAGAGAAGCATGATGCTGAAATATAATCAAGGTTAGTTATACTAATGTTGTAACCAATCAATTGTGAATAAATATTGCAAAACGTAGAACCACATACATTGATCAGAGCTAAGCTTATGTAAATTCTCTATTCTTAGAGGATTAATTTTAGTGCTGAATTTTCAAGTACTTTTATTAACTGAGCAGTATTCATTCGTTTTGGGATCAGAAGCGAAAGACGCTCTTTGCCCAAAATGTTAACAAATTGATTGTTCATATTTGTAAGCGCCCCTGAACACCGAGGCAACCGATAACTCGCGAGAAAACACGTCTGAACTTAAAATTTGTCATTAAGGAAAGTCAGGACTTTGATCATTGACCTGTAATTATTTATTTTCACTGCCAGAGGATTTTACTGGTTCAATTCTGAAAAAGACCATTCTTATAAGATTGGAGATAACTCCAGCCATTTTAATGTGTCGTTTTAAGACATATTCAGTAAAAATACAGATTATAAGTACAATGGGAATTTTATAGGCTGTCTAGCCGCTATAACCAAATCGTTGAGCCATTGCCTGACTAGATTACTGCGGCTGCAAAATTTGCCGCTTTTTCCAACGCTCGAATACCCCCCAGATACATGAAGAGGCCTTTTTCTCTGCTTTGTACATTAAATTAGCTTCACTAATGGCGACACACCTGCAATTCCAATGATAACTGTGAGGAAAAAAGCCACGAAAAACGAGACGAAGACCAAAACAAACTGCCGCTTAGTAAGAGTGTAGAGCCGCATTTGGACTGTTCTGTGGAGGAAGAAAAACAACACTTCAGTCAGTAACAGCTGTGAAATTAAAAGAACGACAAAAAAAGCATCTATCTTACGAGTCCATTTCCTTGGTAGCCATATTTGAATTTCAGACACAATTTACTCCGCAAACACAACCATATTAACATCGGACGCCAAAGGAACAACTCATTTCGCTTTGTTCAACAAAGTTGAAAGGAACTGGGAACAAGGAAAATTTGCATACTTTCCTCAACACCTCTTCAGACGGAAATATCTCAACATTTTTTTGGATTGCATGTCTGCGAATCAATATTCATCAAATGGATATAGCCTGAACAGTTCTAAGCCAAACTAATGACCTAATGCAAGAAAGTCCTCTTCAAATAAAGAAAAAGATTCTGCTACCTTTCGTCAAGGAAATAAGTTTTAACGATTTTAACAAAATTGACAGGAAGTTAAGCTTCCTGAAATGTTATATTTAAGAGTTATGACCTAAACTTAAATGCGATGAGCTCCTTAAGTTTTCACTCCTGGTCCTTCGCCGTGCGTGCAAACATGAAATTGACAATACAGTATCAGTTGAGACTATCCACGAGATTATGAACTGTTCAAAAAATCTAGGACTAACTCAAGAGAGGTTATTAAAATGTAGATTTCAACCACTTCTATACTTCCACTAGTACGTGATCAAAACTAAGAAAGAACCACAAATTACTTAATCCGACTGGGAATATTTTGTAAGAAGAGATCTCTGTAACTTTCACAGTTTTGCCTTACAACCCTTTCAGCATTTGGTTTAACCTTTACACCAGGCTGTGGCCCTTGCATCAGTTTTTATGTTCTCCATACTGTTCTAGAGACATTTCCTCTAGTATCGTCAAGGATAATTTTTTCAAAAAAATTAAGAGCGTCTTAAGTGATTGGTTATTTCCCGTATTCTCCGAACCTTCATTTTTGATTCAATGGTGATAATGTATAGAGAAATTCATAGTGGGTTCTTGCCACTCCTTGGAATGAAAAGTTAAAGGAGTGAATCGATCAGTCCCGGCTTCTATTAAAAGAGGTGAGTAGAGAATTGACCCTCCGAAGATATTTTATGATAGTTCTTTGCTGAGAACTTGCCTACAAGAATTGTCGAGTTTCCACTACAGTCTACTGATACCTATATATACCTGGGTGAGTATACGGGACCACCGTGAAAGTTGAGTCTGTCTTGTCACGACAATACAACACCCAGCAAGGGCGCAGATCGTTTTCCAATCCTTTTCAATTAAAATCTTTTCTTTTAAAGGGTGAAAAAAAATTTATTAAGAATTGCAAAACGTGATTCTAACATCACTGATAGACTCCCTTAAATGCTTTATTTCCAACAATTTATCAGCCGCCGGTGATCGATCAGGTTAGTCACTTTTTTTTATTGACGATATGGATGGGAATAACGAAAAACGAAAAAGACAGAACAAATTAATTGGACAAGATGACTGAAGTTTGTGTTCCCGAAGACATCTTATCTCAGCCCAGACTTTCCGGTATAGAGTTCAGAGTGCATGCCACAACGAACATAACTGATCGGGTAGAGAGGGAAGATGAAGATGACCCCCTCGTTACTGATTCGAGTGGGTCCTCAAGGTCAGTGTTAAATCGTTATTCTTATGAGTTTCAGGATAATATTTTACACAACAAGTACATAATTGTTCTTTATCGGCAATCTCTGTTTCAATCTTTTATTTCTACAACAATGCCCGGGCGAAAACTATCCTTTGAGTCACCTCATGAACTAAAGAGTTCAGAGCCTTCGTGGTGGTGGACTGTTTGTTTCCTTCAACTTCTCTTTGATTTCCAGGCAACGGATCTGCGCCAGCCTTTCTATCTCAGGCTTGAAACTAAAGATCAGGGGGAGTCTGCTGTAATGGTGTGGAAGCAACTAATCGTGGGCATTGGTCGTCTGATGGAGAGATTTAAATATGGCTCAAATTTATGAGTACGAGGATGGCTTAAAGCTGATTTTTTCTGGATTTTTCCCAGGAAACTCTTAATTTATCAAGGTGGGTGTAAACGAATTTCATCAAGTTTAACCAGTTTGATATTTTTTGGGCCTTATTTGAGTCGGACACATATAGATACACCGTCACTTAAAAAGCAGTGGGGAGAAAGGAAGGGTTTACTTTAGGGATTTATCGCCCCTATCGGGTGAATGACTGCAAGATTACTCCATCACAGACTACAGTTATCCTACGGTAAACAGATTAAGCCGAGCGTTCTCATACGCAAATAAACCCGATGTAAAGGTTGGATGATGGTCTTCTGTTTCTGAGCGAAGTTTTTTGCCCGTCCATTATTCATTTGTGAATTTCTGTTTTGTTACTGATATTGAAAAATTCGAAACCTTTCAGATTCATCTTTTCATCGGACTAAATAATGTTCCGATACTGGAAAGAGTTCTTGCTTTAGCTCTGTTGAAGATGTCTCGATAAAAGGCCCGCACTCTGATGTAAACATAAATATAGTAATGGCAAAGTGAGGTCAAGGACAACATCTCAGAAACTGAGACGGGCTAATAGCACATGCACTATTCATTGAGCCAGGGCAGCGAAACACTTAAGAAGCCGAATACCCCATGTGCTTTTGATGTTTTTAGTTTGAGCTCGTTTCCTGACAAACAAAATTGACCAGATATTGGAAAAATCTCTTTTAAGAGATTAAAATCTCCTAATGACTCGTTGAATAATGCTTATCCAATTCTTATTAGAGGCTTTTGAAAGATCATGGTGACAGAGATTTAATTGAACTTGTATACAATAAATAAATGTATTGTCAGAGTAACACACGCGATGGCATAATTTTCATGGTCTGTTGGTTACAGCCAACAATAATTCTCCTCCCTAAAGCTCTGTTGGACGTATGAAATTTGAAAATATCAGAACGTTCCAGAATACATGTTCAGTCTTGTTCCAAGTTAGACTCAATGTTCAGACGGAACATCGTAAATCCCAAGGAGAAACTGCTGGAGGCAATTGATTGATTGACAGCGGAAGGAGGCTTACTAAAATTCGGCCGATAATTCGTTTTTCAAGTTGATTAAACTAATTTTAATTTGCTTTTTCCTTCTGCTCAATCGGAGAGCCGGTCGAAGATGGTAAATAGAGGTCAACATTCGTGATAAATTCATATCAGCACGAGCAATGAACAGGTATTTCCCTGACACAACTGACCTCTCGCGGGGAAGTGAAATTTGCACCAATCAAACGTCGATATTATGGCGTCCTGTGTATGCACATAAATATTGCATGTGGTTTGTTTCTCGTTAATATTTAAGATTTCCTTTATATTTAAACAAGGAGAATCTTTTGTAATCGATAATTTCGAAGGCAGTCATATCGAGAAGAGAACAGGAAATGGTCAGAACTTGTGCTTATAAATGTCAATAGCGTCGGCGAGAACATCTGGCGCACAGCGCTGTTTATCGACATTGAAAGTTTAATCTGACTTTGCACCGCCTCCAGTTTGTGCACATTGGTGTGTGTTTTCGATTGGACCTTTTATTTTTAACCAAGTTTACAAAAATACATCGGCAGATCCACCTTGAGGAAAATGAAATCGAAATGGTTGGTTGTCAAGGGTTTTAGTGACAGTTGCTAAGCTCGTGCCAATGACGTACTAATCTTCTCGAAGAAATTGTATATAGCAAAAAACACAATCGATTCAGTCGAAAACAATCGATTAATGATCGTTTTACCACATCCACGTTTTAAGATCGAATGTGGAATACAATTAAGCCTCTAAAATGGAAATGGCTGATAAGATATAAGGAAGGAAATCTAACAGTCATTGTATTGATTCTGTCAATAATCCGTTACTATGGAAATTGTTACATTTGGTAAGACGCATGCGCCGTAGTCGTGCAATGATTGGCGGTTTTTAATCACGTGCCGTAATTCACGTTGTTATTCCACCTGGCCCTTTGTCATTCCTCTCAGCCAGATTATCACGCTGAATTTTCACCCAATTTCCACAATTTATTTCCAAACTTAGAAGTTGAACTAGGCTCGTCCAAAAGTGGCCAGATAGGTCAAGTAGCTCCCAGAATTTGATAATGTCGGGTTCATATCCACCTCCAATTCTTCCTAAGCCTCCAGTCGGCCTTCCTTTCATAGCACCTAAACCAAATATGCCAGGTCAGGGTGTGAATGCAAGTCAGTCAGGCTCTAACAGTCTCGAAGAAAAACGGCAGAATGGAGGTAGTCCGAGCCAAAGAACCGATGCTGAAATGTTCGATTTAGAAAGTGAAATTGCCAGAAGGACAAGTCAGCGAAAGCGGCCTAAAGTATGTTCACAGTTTGTCTTCATTATCTAAATTTGTCATTCATGATATATTATGCAACATTCTTCAATTTATTGTCAACAATACGGTTTTGTGTTTCAGCTTTAGCCTTTTCTTACGGTTACAGATGGAGTCTTTCCAAGGAACGAAAGACACATTTGGAGTCTTAAGAATCGAATATCTCCGGTATAATCTACCGTGACCTCCGATCCGGGGACACTAAATTTATGCAATACTAAACGAACTGTCATTGAAGCAATGAAAGCTGACTGGTTCGTGGTTCAGAGTCACATGGGCTTTGTTTCAGAGAATATATTTGATAGTTCCTCGTAAGTGTTAGCTTCCATTTCCTGAATTCTGAAAAGGGGAAAAAGTTGGAGAAACTGTTGAATTCCTTCGCTCCGGCTCGGATGAGAGTAAATGAGAGATTTTCGACAAGATTTTGAAACCAGAAATGGGAAGCCCTACGTCACATTGTCAACAATGAAACTTTGTAATCACTAACACGCAACGGGTTGGAGTCGTTTGAAGATTTCCTCGGCAAATGTACAATTCCTTCGTTATGTTCAGCCAGTGTTCAAGCTTTCGTCTCGTTAAGTTGATTAAAGGGCTATCGCTGCTTTTTTTTCCCGGAACATCGAATAAATCACTCATTTTTTTTTCGGCTTTGCGCGTTTGGATTGTTTACATATTTTATAGTGGAGTGGTCACTCGGGAGCCTTTGTCCGCGGGAAGATTGGGGAATGACTGATGATTTTTCGCTTGTTCCTAGCCACGACCCAAACATCGTTTTTGCTTGGAAATTCCTGTCAAAATTTCAGATAAATCGTGTGCCTTTTATTACGCGAAACTGATAGGGATTCGAACCATTTCTGTCCGAAATCGCCGCGCGTAATTTGTCGTTTTCTGACAATGGAGGTAAGCGAATTGTCCAATGTTACACAACAGAACTCCTTCCGTACGCTCTCTGAACTCGATTTAAAGAAGATTCATGGTTTTATGTCTAAAATTGACTGTATTCCCCGATTGTGGTTAATTTTTTTTTGGGGGGGTGAAATAAGAAAGATAAAAATGATCGAGAGAACGGAAACACTTTGTGTTCTTCTTCAGACAGCGAAGCAATCGGTGAATGTATTTATGAGCTAACACGCGTTCTCCATGTGTTCAGCTGTTAATTTTGATGAATTTTCGCGCTGATTATTTCTGTCTAGCGCTTAAATTTAAGCATTATTTTTCATACTGGCATGTAGTCAACACAGTCGTATTGAAAAGATACTCTACTGAGGAGAGGAGAGTAACCATAAAGTGTAAAGAAAAATTTGCTAGATACAAAATATATTTTCCTGATCATTTATTCAGCGCCTGGTAGCTTTTTCCATGCCTTTGTTTTGCAAACCATCTTGCATTTATGAAACAGCTACACAAAATTTGAACGTAAATATCACATCCCTAAAGGCTTCCTTTTCTAAGATTTTTTGCTGCATAAATTTAGTTAAATTTATGTGCCAGTTTCCTTGTCTAAATTAAAAATAATTGTTTTATTTACATCACCTGAGAGTTGAAATATTGCAGTTGATGATGGGAATTGTGAATTTTTTTTTTGTATGCATTTAAGCCATCAGTGAGGCCAGGCAAGATGCCTTATTACGTAATTTTGTGTTCTATTGCCTGAGTGGACACTCTTGACTGTGATGCCAAGAAATCCTTTTGTCCTTGCTGGCTAAAGCCAAGGGGTTCAATGAACTCTGTTTGACACCAATCATGCTTGCTTCAACTTTACTCGAATTATACCAAACCTGGGGACCCACCACTTTTTTAGATCCAGTTCTACTTCTATGGTTGCTCTACATATTTGTGTTTGTGTTTATTGGAGTTTGTCCCTTTTTTGTTTGAATCATTCAGTGATAAAGAATTAAATGTTATAGATTTTAGATCAAGTAATTTTATTGAGCATTGATAGTGATTATTGTGATCACAGTTCTCAGTAGTTAGAAAGCAACCTCTTGTTTCATAATGCTACTTAGCTCCAGTGTGAAGGTCATGTCTGCTTTGAAGGTGACTTAAAACAATTAATGGTAATTGAACTGAGTGGAGTGCAGTTTGGTGGGACAAGTATGATTTCAGACCAAAATGGCTTTTGATTCAGTTTAATTACCACTTTATTACATCCATTTTGAAATCTTAAAATTCAGTACAATTATTTTATTGATCTAGTAATGAGCCTACAAAAGGTTTCAGTCATTCTCCTACAAACTGATTTGTTACTTTAAACAAGCCTTGAATTCTGATTGATTGTTGCATTTTAATCATTAAAAAGCTTTCTCTTTGGTTAGGAAAAATATGCGGTTTAATGCAAAAAAAATAAAATGATGATATTAAATCAAACTTTTGAGAGCCAATCAGATTATAAGGATCACCGGTGATTTCAAAATGGAATCTTTCTGAATTTCTATCCATTTATTGAGTCAGTGCTGCATTGACATTGACATTGACTTTTTTTTACTTAAGTTGGCATGTCTCATGAAAATTTGTTTATGTTTTGAGTTTGTATGAATTGTATACCTTTTCCATGTGAGAGAAGATCTCAAAGTCTTTTTGGTTTTTGGGTTGCCAAGTTGATATCAAATGTTTGAACTATGTAGGAAATAAAGTCCTTCTTTTGTGCTACTGTTGTTGGTGATTGTGTTAGAAAAATATTGATTTAATTGAGCAATGGATTTTGTTTACTTCAGGTGGAATACACAGAAGTAGATGTAAAATTAGCTAACTTGACGGACGAGGAAATGTCGGATGATGAAATCATCAGAACCACCACAAGGGCATCACCAGTCCCTCCAGCTATGGAGGCTGAAGAACCACGTGAAGTAGAAGAGGAGGATGATGAAGAAGATGTTCCTGAAGGCTAGTTCTCTTTGTTTTATAGCAGCTAGAGCTATTGTATTAGTCGTCCAAACTTAAGAAATAGTCAAGTCAATATCATTATTTTCAAGTATACTGTGCTAGGTTTATGCTTAAATCTTGTTGGAGTTCAATGAAGGAGAAGTAAAGCTCAAATTGTGTGATTTATGCTGCAGTTAACAAGCATGTTGATGCAGTTTTAGAGAGATCATTCCATTCATCACATGTCTGAGTCATGTTTTATGGCCATGTTGAATTTGACATGATCCACATGCATCATGGAGCTAGTTAACATGATAAATTGTGCACTCAGTGTTTTGTTAAGGGAGTTGAAACATTATAGTGCAATCCTCAGTATTTCTCTATTTTTGCTTGTGCCTCATATCTGTCTTGTTTTCTTATATTCCTCGAAACTGTTCATTCAAATGCTTGAAAGATTCATAGTATTCCATGACATTTTTCCTTGCAGGAACCCTCAGCCACTAACCATATGTTTGTAATTTTGTGGCTTTGTCAAATCCACTTTCTGGCTTTTGTCATTAGTTGTTATTATTCAAAGCCCTTTCAACTGAAGAGCTCCCATTGAGGCAACATAGTGGCACAACTAACATCAATTAAGAATTGCTTTTAACTGAAATTCATTTTAAATTTCAGCATAATTGTTATAGTTTCAAGTGAATTCAGGTCAAAATAATTTTAAGACATTTGAAGTTTTAATTCCTTTGGTCTCAGGAAGATAATTGAAATTCCTAAATGTAGATAAAACAAATGGACATTCCCTGTATGGAATTATTTTAACTGGGAGTCCCTTTCAACTAACAACATTTACACCTACAGGACTTGAGGGTGCAGCTTTCCAAAGTAGATTGCCTTTTGATAAGATGACATCACAAGAGGCATCGTGTTTCCCAGATGTCTCTCAGGGCCCTCCCCCTGTCCAGAAACAGTTTTTATACATCAGGAATAGAATGGTATGCGAAATCAATTAAATTTTTATCCTATTTTAATTGATGGATTTTACTTCTTTTGAAAATTATTGTAATTTATCTATGGATTTTGTGGTTCAAAATTGTCTTGATGAGATTTTGCAGATCAGTTTGATTTTGATTTTTCTTTGTCTGGTGTTGATTAATTATCATGATAAAAAAGTTAGGAAGTGAAAAATAAACTGGTGCAAAACATGTTAATCAAGGAAAATTTTAAAATATGACACCTATAGATATTACCCCTCAGTCACTATCAGACATAGTGCATAGTAATTCTTCTGCTTAAAGTTTGATGAAGTTGTTGTTGTTTTTTTTTTACCAATGTAAGCTACAACTATGGGTTGAAAATCCACGACAACAGATGACATTGGAGCATGCAATGTCACAAATGGACCCTCAAAATAGTAAGTTCTTCCCCTTGTACATTCTCTTAATGTCTTTTTTTTTACATTTTTATGATAGCTTTTCAATCTGTCTGAAAGTTTAAAGCAAATAAGAAATTATTATAGTAAATGGCCAAGTTGTCAAAGGTGGCATGTTGCTTTTTCAGATTACACACAAGATCACAAACTATTCAGTTAAAATATCTTTGTGGCATTCCACAAAGATCACACAAACCTGAAAGCAACTCCTGAATTTGGAATCATTGTGCAGATTTAAACCTGTTACTGGTAACTCAGAGATAGCTTGTGTACATATTTCCTCAATGACATTTCACAAGGTTTACAATTTTTCATTGCTACTTGTGTAAAATGAAATGCACGTAGAACCTAAATAGGTTTATGTCTGGCTATGAAAATTGATAATTTTTGTTTGCTTTCCCTGTAGGTGATCCCAAACTTGCAGCAAGAGTACATGCCTTCCTTTCACGATATGGCTTGATAAACTTTGGAATATACAAGGTTCTTAAGATGCCAGCTGCATGTAAGTAGAACTTATAATAAAGGGTAAAATGTCAGTATATATTGATCCTACATGTATATGCTACACAGTGTGTGTAATCCTTGAATGACATGTGAGGTTAGTGATCTTGATTAAGCATTCATCTTGAACTTCTTCATTATCCATAATCAAAGTTGTTGTATTTGAGAAATATGTAGACCATACCATTTATGTGACACACAAATAATTTTTTATAGACCAGATCAGAAGAACAATACTTTCTGCACAGACATGTTTCTGTGGAGATTTCATTGTGCTTTGCATCTATAAGCTAAGAACTTTAATACAAAATAACCATGAATAGACACTTTCTAACAAGCTGGGTGCATTCAGGTATATCCAAACAGTTGGGAGTCAATCTTTTTTTTATATATATAAAAGTGTGGACCATGATAAATTCAGGGTGCTAGCTATAACCTTATGTCCAAGATCTGTGATTTTACCTGTGTTACATCAACATTAAAAAAATTCCTTGAAGAACCCTGAAAAACTAATAATTTTATCCAGGGTTTGGGTTTGAATCAGAAGCCAGTCATAGTGGTGTGGTTTTCAGGAATTATACTCTTCTTTATGGGAGGAAAAATTTGGCTGTTACTTTTAATTTTTATACCTATCGTATTTGAATACTTCTGACATGAGTTGAATATAGTTTATAAGTGTTAAGTGAATGTATGGTTCCCTTTTTAGTAAAAAAGTCACCCAAAGTGATAGTTGTTGGTTCAGGAATCTCTGGTCTTGCAGCTGCACGGCAGTTACAGTCTTTTGGAATTGATGTCACTATTGTGGAAGCGAGGGTAAGGTAGCATTACTCTCAAACACTCAGTTGGTTGAAATTTAAAATATCTCAAGAATTATTTTAATGGGTAATTTGTTGATAGTTGAATATTTGTTGTGGTATTATCAATAATTATTACTTAAAATCTGGTATTGCTTGCCAGGAACGTGTGGGAGGAAGGGTAGCAACATTCCGTAAAGGACAGTACATTGCAGATCTTGGAGCCATGGTACTCACTGGGTTAGGTTGGTATTATTTACTTGTTAGCGTTAAAATGTTTTAATTTGTCTTCATAAAATCTACACTTACATGCAACATCTTGTATCTGTGACCTGAGACCAGAAACTACATGGCTATCTTAGCACAAAGTTTATTGTTCACAGTCATTGAGGTTTTGTACTTATTGTCTGGGAGGAAGGGCCAGACAGAAAAATACTATTGGCTCAAGGTCAAGAAAAACTGACCAAGTTCAGCAAGCCAGACACGTCCTGTCCAGCTTGACCTCACTCATTCAATAAACATTTTATCATAATTGTGACTGTGGCTCTTTCTTCCTTTCTCCTTTAAGCTTATGGCTTGCAGGGCTTTAGGTTTTGAATGACCCTGCTGGTCATTAAAGGAAAAAATATATTTATTTAAAAATTAACGAATATTCCTCTTGGCTAGCCAATCAGAAGAAAGGATTTACTTTATTTGGCTTGCCTGTTGATAAGGGTATGTCAAAAATGATAACCAACAAAGGAAAACTTGCTGAGGGAGTCATTCTTTTATTGCAGGGGGAAATCCTTTGACAGTTCTGGCAAATCAAATCAATATGGATCTTCATAAGATTAGACAAAAGTGTCCATTGTATGAAACTCATGGAAAGTCGGTATGAACTGTGTCTTGTTTTGAAACTTATGAAATTAATGACTTTTCAGCACAAGCTAGTATTTCACTGGTGGTCAAAAATGATGCTGTTGTCATCAAAGGTTAGCATCTTTAGTGTCAAATGTATTTAGGATTTTCATAACCAAAAATCAATTTCTGAGAATTGGACCTTGATCATTTACCACCTGTGTTCAATAAAAGAGCCAATTTAAAATACCTTTTTCGATGTGTTGGATGGTTAGCAATCATTTTAGGCTGAAAAAAGAGTTTGGAAGAATTACAGTTTGAATGTAATTTGTCATCAACAATAGTTTTCCTCAGCCTGAAAACTGGTTTGACATTTTGTTTAAGAGGAATTGCTGATTGTAAATAATGTACAAAATTCACTTCCCTTTACAAAGTTTACTTCTTGCCTTCCAAAAAGATGAGGTTTTATTGTCTTGCTATTATGAAATATTGACTCCAGTAATTACTGTTTATTAGGGTGATGAACTTTTACCTAGCAGTTTATTTCAAACTTAAATTTTTCCCTAAATATTTAAATTATAACAATTTATTATTATAACTATTATAGTTTGGTGTGGTTAGGTTTGGAAAGTTTAAACTTAAAACTTCTTAACTTGCTGTTTGAGTAACCTGACGTGTATGCACCTGTAAAGCTTTGTACAGTTTGTTCAGTTCAAGGTTATGGTTTTTCAGACATGTTTTCTTCTTCTTCATTGTCCACTAAAAGTAATTGGGAAAAAGAGTAGACTGAATCAGTCTACATTGTAACACTGATGTTTTAAATGAACTGAAAAGCTGGTTTTTATTCTAAATTACCCTATTTGAATTTTACACCCTGACTTTTTTGCTTATTTTTTATTTGAGAAAAGTCAAAATCACCTGTTTAAGCAGACACAAAATTGTGTTAATCAAAACATTAGAAAGTTGCTAACAGTTCTGGCAAGTGCCAATGGTACATGTACAATGGATTATAAGTTACATGTATGAATTTATTGTAATCAGCAATATAATGATGTTATAGAATGTCTGGTCACTAAAAATAGGGTAAAAATTAAAAAAAAAAAAGGTAAAATAAATTTAACATAACAGTCGAGAAATGTTAAATTAAACTAAACCTGGAATGACAACATACACCTTGTTTTAAACGAACCAAAGTTAACATTTGATTTTTTCCTGAAGGGCCCACTTGAAAAGAAGGCCAACAGCCGGCTTGCTGCTGTGAGGGTAGGCTTTCCTCTTTTTCACCAGAATGAAGTCAATATGCCATTCATTGTACGTGTACCTTCATGCACTTGTCAATTGCGTTCATTCTTACCCAGTCACCAACACCTATTGCTAAACATTTTTTTTTTAAATGCGCTCAGCTTCTTTTGTTTTTCCTGCTCTCTTCTCTCAGCATATAAACCATAAAACCACTCTTAATAAATGTAAATTAGCAACTCTCAAAACTCTTTCCTCTTTTTGCAAATAAGCCTTCTTGGTAAAGGTGAGCTTAAAAAAACACAGCTTATAAATTGCTGGCAATAGAAATACATCCATTCAGTGAATTCCATTCTTAAGCATTTGTGTGTATCATTTTCATGTGTAAATACAAGTTTTGTCATTAATTTATACAATCATATGTTTTCTTGTGTCACATGATTTAGAGTAACTTTCAACTAAGTGTTGAAAGGAATTTGGGATTGCTCTGGTTTGGCTTTACTTTGTTCTGTTATTGGTACAGAAAACACACCTCCTTCTCAAGCAATCAGATGCGAAACAAGAAGCAATTGTGACTTTATCACTAGTGTTTTCCCCCATTAATCGCATTTTTCTGCAGGTACCTAAAGAGAAAGATGAGATGGTGGAAAGGGAGTTCAACAGGTTGCTGGAAGCCACCTCATATTTGTCACATCAAATTGACTTTAACTACATGAACAGCAAACCTGTGTCTTTGGGCCATGCCCTGGAACTTGTGATCAAGTTAGTTACCAATGAATTTATATGGTTATAAACTGACTAGTCCAGTTTATAGCTAATTCTTTGTTATCTTGGCTGATTTTGGTGTTATGCATTGATTGGCACGGCTAAAATTAGTTAAAATAATTATATCTTTCATGTAGTATGATTGATTCATTTTGTTTACAGCAAGTAACCCTACCATTTGTACCATTTTAAGAGAATTCCTCCAAATAAGAGCAAACCTGTTTATTCATCTAAATTTGGTCTATTGAGTTCAAATGTATGTACTGATTTGATTTCAGGATGCAAGAGAGGCATGTTAAGGAGCAGCAGATCGAACATGCAAAAAAGATTCTTAATATTCAAGAGCAACTGAAGGCTAACTTAGCCCAGGTAAATTAGTTTTACTTGGGGATCACCATGTTACATACTCTGGGTTTTCTGTGGTTGAGTCTTTCTGTATTTAGTGTACCTCTCTGACCTCTGATTGATGAAGTATTGTTTTGCTTTTTATTATCAGATGGTGCAGATTAAGGAGAAAGTCAAGCAAACTCATAAGGAATACCAAGAGGCCCTCAAGGTCAAAGAACCAAGGTATAGCACAATGTCAAAATTTTTCATTCTTGTACTGCCAAAAGTGTCAAACAGGTAACTTGCTCTCTGAATGGTAATTGCACTTTATCCAGCAGACAGGTCATAAGAAGAGATAAATAAATTACCATTTGGAGGCTTAATCATACACTGAACTTTTTTAATTGCTCTATATAGAAATTTATAGTAATGAGGAGGGAGAATTGCAATTCACATCCTAGTGATTAAGGTTAATTTTGAATTCCATAACAAACAATTTCCAACAACAATTGCTCTTTAAAGCTCTGGCATGGCACAGCTCTTGCCCCATAAAAGATAGAAACACATTTTCTGATCACAAGAATGTTAGTGTGTGAGCTACATTCAGTTGCATACTCATCTTAATTTCCAGTATTTTTGTAAGTGCAATTTATAAATGCATTTGATTTTAGCAAGGATCTTTTTGTTTTCTTTGTTTGTGTTTTGCTTTTTCTGAATATTCTTCAAGTGTCAAGGTTATAATTCTGATTATTGAATTTCTTAACAGGGATGTCACATCAGAGTTTTTGGTGAAAAGCAAGCTAAGAGACCTGAATGCCCTTTGCAGGGTAAGTACATTATGGTGGGTTTGAAGGATAAAAAGTTCCATGGCTGTTTTTGTAAAGATAAAAAAACACTCATGATTTTATTTTTTTGATAAATCCAATTAAAGGAATATGATGAAATGGCAGAGGAGCAGCTTCGTATTGAGGAGAGACTTGAAGAACTTGAAGATAACCCACCGAGGTAAATTATTTAAATTTAGAAAACAGCTTTGTTCAAATGAGTTTGGGTTAAATCTGGTGTAAAGGCTTACATGAATACACAAGTGGTATTCTTGTTTTGCAATTTCCTTGTAATCAATTGGAATTTGCAATGAAATAGTTTAGCATGCAAGTTTGATTTAGCTCCCCCAGTGTGTCATTTAGAAGTGTTAAATCTGTTTTGATGGTCATTTCACAGTGATGTTTACTTATCATCAAGAGACCGACAGATCCTAGACTGGCATTTTGCTAATCTAGAGTTTGCAAATGCCACGCCCTTGACATCACTGTCACTTAAACACTGGGACCAAGATGATGATTTTGAGTTCAGTGGCAGTCACATGACTGTTCGTAATGGTTACTCTTGTCTTCCTGCTGCTTTGGCTGAAGGACTTGATATCAGACTCAACACTGCAGTGAGACATGTGCGCTATAACAGAACTGGTATGTGCCATTGCTTGCTCAGTGGATAACTTAATGGATGATATACATGTATATAGATTTTAGTTTCAATAACACTTCCAAAAAAGCTCATAGGCCCATTGTGTTTAAGAAAATCATACTTGAAAATCCAAAACAAAAATTTGGTTTGAAAAACTCAAAAGTCAGGTGAGTAGTGTTGCTTTGTGTTAATGTCTTTGTGGGTAGTATGCCATCCAAGATAAGAAACCTTACACCATCATTGATTAATTTTAAATCCCTGTTTCCTGTTGCTTTTAGTGTTTCCTATATGCTGTTGATCTCTCTATTTCTTTTTTCCTGTGTCCCTTTCCATTTCCTTTTTTCTTTATTATTTCTTTTTTATGTAGTCTTTCCTGTTGACGTCTCTATTTCCTGTTTCTTGTTTTGGTTTCCATTGTTTCATTCCTGTTCCTGTTTCTAGTCCATGTGGCATCGTACTCCTTGATTCAATTCCTTTTCCAGTTCCTGTCTATTTTCTCTCTTCATTTCCTGTTTCCTGTTCTAGCTCCCACAACTCAAAGACACTGAAAAGGTCTGTAACTAGCATAGCATTATGCCAGTGTGGTAGTAACATGTCTGTTGGTTATTTTCCAATCCATATACCACCTATTTCTGTCAACTGTGTTTTAGGTGTAGAAATTGTCACCCAGAGCACAAGCAAGTCATCAATCACTACAACACAGAATTTTAAGGGAGATGCTGTGTTGATAACACTTCCACTTGGAGTACTCAAAAGCCATCCATCAGGTGTGCAGTTTCACCCTCCCCTCCCAGAGTGGAAGACTGCTGCTATACACAGAATGGGCTTTGGAAATTTAAACAAGGTGGGAAAAAAACTTAATATCATACACAGATCCAGCAGTACAATGTTTGAATTTATATTAGTAAAATTATATTTGAGATGCTTATCTTGGTTTCACACAAATTCTAACTTACTTTGGATTTCCTCCACTGTTACTTGGAGGAAAAACTATTACAAGTTTCAAGATATTTTCACACCTACCATATAGCCAACTTTTGAAAAAACTTTTAGATCCATAATTTCCTCTTGTATAGCTTTTTATTTGTATATTGCTTTGACCAATGGTTGTTGATGTATTTTATGAGTTTGGGACATAGGAGATATGTGACCCTTAAATCCTTCAATTTGTAGGTCAGATACTTTACCATGTTAGAAGGAGAGAACTTATTAGTGAGCTTCATGTCTCCCATTTATGCAGTTCATATTGAACTCTTCATAAGAATTTAATTCAACAGCTGTGTTTTATTTGTATAAGGTGGTTCTTTGCTTTGATCGAGTGTTCTGGGATCCAAACACCAACCTGTTTGGTCACGTTGGAAGTACAACGGCGAACCGTGGTGAGCTTTTCCTGTTTTGGAATCTGTACAAGTCACCAGTGCTTATTGCTCTAGTGGCTGGTGAAGCTGCCAATAAGCTGGAAAATGTGTCTGATGAAATTATTGTGGGAAGTGCTATTGCAGTCTTAAAAGGAATATTTGGGAGCAGTGCTGTTCCTCAGGTTTGTTACTTACTTTTTCCCATTAAACTCCCCTGCTCTGAGATAAATTTCAAATACAAAGGCTGGTGAAAATTAACCTTCTCGCAGCTGAGATCTGGAATGTTATTCCTCCCAACAGCAGACCATATGTTTCTTTATTGGCTTCTCCTGAGAATTTAGCACTATGTTCTGCCAACAATTCTTACTTGATGATGTGTTCTATGTTTGCCACCTGTCTACATGGGTTAACCAACTGAAGCTTCACTTTCAGCCTTGGCAAAATCCATATATTTTAAAAGCCAGCTTTTGTTTGTTTTTGTTTACAATATTTAGTTATGGGACTATGCTCATCATACAGACATCCATTTTCATTTAAAAAACACTTAAGCCTGAACTTTTCATTGTTATTGTGTGAAACCAGGTTTTGAGTTTGCCAAATGGCAGCAAAATAGAATGTTAGAAAGCAAAGAATCTTGTTAGCTGGGTCCCCACATTTACAAATTATAGGTAAACTTGAAAGTTTCTGCCAGCTAGTCTTACTTAAGGCCTCAAACTTATTTGAGAGGAAAGAAATGCAGTTGTTGAAGTTCCATTGATGAGGACCTGCTCACAGGCTAATTTTATGTGTTAAGGACAATGTCAACCAGAAAGCAAAGCAGCTGAGTCCCCACCACTGCCTATGGCACTTCATGATTGAATCTTTTTCTTTCAGCCTAAAGAGACAGTTGTAACAAGGTGGAAGTCAGATGAGTGGTCACGAGGCTCTTACTCCTTTGTTGCTGCTGGTTCTTCAGGAAATGACTATGATCTCATGGCTTCTCCAGTGGCACCTCCACCAGTATCAGGGATGCCTCCAGGTAATCCTGCCCCACCCAATCCTCCCAGAGTGTTCTTTGCAGGGGAGCATACAATAAGGAATTATCCTGCCACAGTACATGGAGCTCTTTTGAGTGGCTTGAGAGAGGCTGGCAGAATTGCAGACCAGTTTTTGGGACTCCCTTATGAAGTAAACAGAATTGGGCAGCCACCCATGACCCAGGCCTAAAGTCCTCTAACAAGTTAATTTGTCCAGGAAAGATGATGTGGTGCTCAAGTTCAAGTTCCAGCTTTTATAATGTGAATATTATCGTCAAAATGGATGAACTTTGTTACCTTTGTTATGGTTTTAAGGTCAGTATACTGTCACAGCATGTCTTATGTGCCATCACAGACTTGATGTACATAGAGTTTTTGTTGTAGAGGACATTGTCAAAAATTAATTATATTGTAACAAGTGGTAGGTCTTGAAGAAGTTTGATGTTTTTATCAGGAAAATTTAACTTGGAGCTAAGTCACAATCCTCTCATTTACATACACCTCCTAACAGTTCTCTTCAAGCATCTTATCATCAATTTACACCATGAAGGAAACTTTTAAGGCATAAATTTCAAAAAACCCTACTATGCTAGATGGTTAAATGTTCATGTTCTGTAAAATCAGTCTCATCAATGAAAACAGTTTTTTTGGAGGTGTGACAGAAAAAGTGGTTGGTAGTACTCTCCTACTTTATCAACATCTTTTTTGTTTGTTTGTTTTTAATGTAAACAAAAACTTCCTTAATTTAAACTTTCTGATAGTTAGTCATTAATAATATTGAACGTTGTTAGATGCTTAAGAAAACATGTACAAAACATTCTCTTTCCTTTTCATGTTATATCATCCATGGAAAATGTATATTAATATTTATTACAAATAAAAAATATTAAAATTAATAGAATGGTGGCCTTCTCTCTAGAATTTAATCTATGACTGCAGCTGACTTATATATCAGTTGCAGCACATTACACTTGGGTTACCCCTGAGAGTGGAAAGGTCAAAACTCCATCCTGTCATAAAGAACTGTTGATCAACTAGTGAAGGCTGATTCCATACAAAAGGGTAGGGTTCCCTCTTCTCACATGTAAAATACAGATTCTGGTGTCATGGTGTAGAGATGGATAGCCAGGAATCCTAGCTGGGAACATATCTTAGAGTCCTGGTCACAAGGACAAGGGAAAATTTGCAGATTTGTGGACAAAACCGTTATCATGGTGGCTCTTTTATATCAAAAAGAGGTTACTTTTTATCAGTGAAATGAAGCTCGTGCCATGCCTGGAATGGTTTCTTTTTCAGGTAACCTCATTTCAAATTTGTAATTCAGCATCTCCATCCCTTTCTCATTAGAGCCTTACTGCAGAATGGGTCATGGGTGATTGAAGGTCCTTTCATATGGTCATACTCCAAGATAATAATTATTACAAAATGATTTCAATTGTGCATGTTTTATTTTCCTAATAAGTTAAGAAAATATACACTCAGTACTCATTTCTGATACAAGTGGAAAAAGATAAAACATTTTGTCGTGTATACCCATAGAGCTAACACTCAATTATATTAATTTTTACTTAAATTTTGGATTCCCTACCATAAGGACTCTGCCTGACTTGCTTTACATTAACTCTTGTAGGTTAACAACAAAACATAATTTACTATCAATCCACAGTTCCAACCAAACATATTGGTATCTATTTACAAACTGCACACCAATACCAACAGCCTGCTTCTGTTTTTTGTTTTTTTGGTGTGTGTCAACAACATCATCAATGAATTTATGATGAGGGTGAAATCATTCATTCTGATAGCTGAAAAATTAATTTTAACATTATCATTTTCACCCAATTAGCACGCTAATTACTTGGTCTTCAAATTTTCACCAGCCAATTTTCCACACTCTCACTAAGCAAAGTGATAAAGCAAAGTGTATGCAAGACATAGAAATTTGGAAGCAATGATCATAATATAAAGTACAGTCTCTGAAAAATCAGAACAACTTGATGATGATCACCCTAGTCCTTACTGCCTCACCACAAGGTGACAATATAAAACTAAGGGGTAACTAAAATAATTACCCACCACTGCTATTCTAGTGATCCAAACATCAACAACATTTATCATGAACGAACAAGTCATCTACCCAGTCACAGTGAAATTTGACACAAATAAATTCAAACTTGAAAAGTTTTTTGTCACACTTAGAAACTTAATTTAACACTCATTTTCCCTTTTTGTCATTCTTCCCAACTGGAAAAAAACATTGAATGAAATAGTTAAGAACACTCCTGATTCTTATGAAAAGAACAAGGGGAAACAGTTCCCATGAAAGAGTACTTTCATGTCATTCAACCACTTGTGGTGAAATTGGAAAAATAAATAAATAATCACTTATAAATAAGTTTTCTTGTCTCACTCAGGTAAAGCATTCTTTAATAAATCAATGTTTGATGTAGAAAGTTGTGTTGGAAACACAACTTCAAAATCCACCATCATGTCAGCTCGCTGATTCAGCCTCTTGGGTAGTGGCAAACCTTCACCTTTAATTCGGCGTTTTGCCCCAGGTTTAATGATATTGTTTAATGGAATATTGACAGTCCGTCCATCCAGTGTTGGAACTGGTACCATTGAAGCTGTTGTATGACCAGTTAAGGCATCTCTGAGAGATAAGGGAGCAGTGTACAAAATGTTATTATCTTGATCTCGTTTGAAATTAACATGGGGCTTGTCCTTGATTGTGAAAACGATGTCAGCAGGAACAGTGTGTGGTTTTTGGTCCCCTTCTTCTGGGAAAGTAATTTTTGTTCCTTCCTTCCAACCCTTTTTCACTTCAATGGTGAGAATCTTTTCTTCAGGGTGAGTTGTCACTCGGTCTTGATTCAAAACTTTTTTAATGATCTTCAGTTTTTTGGTAGTTCCTGTTAACAACTCCTCTAGAGTCACCATGAGGTATTTCTCTATGGGAGGATCTTGAGCCTTTTTGCGAGCAAAGGAATGCATATCTTCAAAGGATGATGATCTCTGACGACTGAAGCCAGGGTAACTCTGATGACGAAAGCTGGAATGGAAACCTCCCATATCTGAAAAGTCACCTCCTCCAAATGCCCCACCTTGCATGCCAAAACCTTGATCGAACATTCCTAGTAGAGAGTGCATCATTAGTTATATATCCATAAACAAAACACAAAAGACTTAAAAACATTATGTTTGATCATCAGAAGAATAAATAATGGTGTTTGAATAACTTTAGATGGCCCATCATTTGGAAAACCTAGAAAACACATGAAAAAGCATCTCACTTAGGAAAAGTACCAGTTTCTACAACAAATAATCTGTACATCCTTGATTGGGAAAGAAATTTCAAATTAGAACTGGATGGCTAGCAAGGTGCTTGCAATCAAGGTGGAACAAAAGTCTCTGTTTGAAGGCTTCCAATTTAAAGGAAAAGTATGCTCCAAAATTTACATTTCATTGCAGCAATTTAGAAGTATAGGTGAATTTATTAGTGGATGGCACACTGAGTGCATTTTGAGAATCTGAAGAGAAAATTAACTTAACATAAAATTGTCCTATATATGCTTTACTTCAACTACAGATGATGCTATTTAGAAAATTGTGTGGCAAATCAGGTGCTCTCTTTTAAAATGGCTGTGTCCAAAGTCAAATTAGAGCACATATGGAAACAATTTTACATTTCGTTACGAATTTCTTTCACTTGACAAAGATCATAATCATATGGTTTCTGGAGCATACTTCCCCATCAAAGGACCACCTGGAAAGACCTGCACACCACTTCAGTCTAACTTTAAAACATGCCACAAAACTAACACTCAGAATGCCAGAACACAAAAATTAGCAATTTGCACAACTCAATAATTATCCCTTACTCTTTTTCAGAAAATGCAAAACAGAGCAAATGAAAAAATGGTTCATTCAATCCCTATAAATTAAGCTATATGTTTTTTTTAAAGTTAGAAATAGGAATAAAAAGCTTCTAGAAAAATCATACAGACACAAGGAACAAATAGCTTAAATTCTGTGTTGAATGGACCTAAATTAGTGTGAATAATTTATAACAATCACTGTTGTAAAGTAGACTTTCCAGAAAATTCCTATGCATTGCTAGAAAGAGGTGTTCTCATTTTTTGCACCACAGTGAAAATTTTCTGACAATGGCAGCTAGGACCAAGAAAATTGTGTTCTCCAGAAACTGAACTTAATTGAGCACATCAGTCGGTTTTGTGCACAAGTTTCTTAAACTTAAGTGCAAAAAATATCCAAACTGACCCTGTTAATACCATGCTAAAGAAATAAGAATGTTGATGAGTTAATTCTTCCTTAGTTCATGAGCCATAGCAAGAAAAATATGGCCTATTTTTTTTTTTATGAGATAAACCCAGACAACAATGTTTGAATGTTTGCTTTCATTAAGTTTGCAAACAAAACAGAATGTTCTAGTTTTTTCACTGATTTTTTCTATTTTGCAACTCTATACCACAAAGGGAGATTTTTTTTAAAAGGAAAAAAAACTTTCCAGTATAGAATGATGAATATTTTCCTGACTTAAAATGTTCTAGTTTCTTCCAGCTGATGTCAAATTTAGACCAAAAAGCAACATTTCTTCAAAGAAAAATAAATTTCAATAGCTTTTCAGCTAGGGATAATGTTTAAACTGACTTCTCTGAATACTTCCCTAAATCAACAATTAAAATAAAAACTCTAGAAAGTTCCCTTAATTTTCCATGCGATTGCCCCCTTAGATGACAGTAGCAGTTTATCTCAGTCTGTTTAACAACAATGGGCTATTTCTAATGGTATTATTTTCCTTCCCCAGCCACAAGTCCATAAATTTAATTGGCACAAAAGAACAAATTTATTAACAACTACGGCTAATTTCTATAGTTCAACGACCATGAAAGGGGAAGGCATACCGAAATCATCTTAGAAAACACTTCATCATTTGGAAGATTGACGTTACATCTTAGCAAAAATAGAGCATAAAATAGAGAAACAATTTTGAAGAAAGTTATACAAAAAAAATTGAGTCGTGTTAATGAACGTCTTTGTGTAAAATAGCATACAACTCTAAATATAACAGGTGCAGCGAGGTCCAATAAAACCGAAGGCGACCATGCATAGTATTGCATCGAACAAAACTTTTCAGTTATATTGAATTAGCATGTAAAATTTTCAAAGCGATATTCAACTTGAGATATTATCTCGACATTTCAATGCATGTAGACCTACCTCTAAAGGGATCGTCTCGTCCAAAGACTCTTGAAAACGTGGACATCGGGTCTCCATGGAAAGTAAAAGCTGTAAATCCAGGCGGCATTTGAAAATTAAACTCTGTCGTACTCGCTTGAGGTTTGCCAGTTCCTTTCAAGCCTTCTTCACCGTACTTATCAAATATCTCCCTTTTTTGAGGGTCGCTAAGAACTTCATACGCTTCTGCTATTTCTTTGAACTGGTCTTCTGCTCCAGTGCTTTTGTTTTTGTCTGGATGATACTTCAAAGCCATCTTTCGGTAAGCTTTCCTAATCTCGTCTTCGCTTGCGTTGCGCGGAATATCCAAGATCTTGTAATAATCTTTCCCCATTGTTTTGTGGACGTCTGCGGAACTACTCACTTCTAGTTGTTTTCGACCCGGTTACATAAGTTTTTATTGCACAGATGGGTCCAGACCTTTATCCAGGGTAAATAATAATAAAATCGTGACGTTGACGATGAAAATTAACGGCAAAGATGTTAACGTCGTGCCGTGCTAGAAAGTTCCGACAACCTCCATTATGACCGCGCGAAAAGACTGGAGTCCAGTGCGGTTCATCACGGTTTTAGCAGTAACCTTCGTCACGTTCTCCAATAGACATTTCCTTGAGCTCTCATCTTCCGCATTTTCCTGACATTTCGAAACGTTGAATTGATATGGAAATGTAATTTTCAGTCAGGAAACGTGGGATTTGTTACAATTGAACAATATTTTGCCCCACCTTTTCTGAACAGATACGCAAGAAGAGACCGGGGGCGGGGAGGGGGAGTGGTGGTAACGCGAAGAGCCGGCAGGGCGGCATTTATGCGTAATACATACCGACCTATTGGAGAGGGCGCTATCGATGAAAGGAAGTAGATTGAATAATAAAGAGAGACACCACATTTCAAAACAAACTAAAGATACAAAAGAAATGAGCTACAATACGAAGTTGAAAGAGCAGAAACCGGAATTTTAGGAGTAATATTCGTTCAATAATCGGGTGATATTCGTGGCTCTTAACTCCGCGTGAATTGCAAAGAGAGGAAGAAAGAATCAGGTTTCAGTCAGGTATTCGCGAAAAGTTCAGACTTCACGCCACGAAACAGGAAATCCGCCTATCAGATGACCAGGTTTTCACCAGCAGGTCTGGGGAGTTGTAGAAAAAAAGTTAGGAATATCGGAGGGCAAACGTAACATCATCAAGTTTTCTTTTGACAATATCAAACCTTAGTCTTGCTTTGTTGACAATGTCGAAAGCAGTCTCTGTCAACCCACACGACGTTTAAAATCGCAGTTATTGCCACAAATATTTTGACAATGTTGAGCGATCGAACGTTCTAGAAAGATCCATTTGTATCGATGTTCTAGATTCTGTCGAGCACGGAAATTCTAAGCTGAGAAAACCGGTACCTAAATTAGAGTATTAAGAATCATAAAGCAGTTTTATTTGATGCAGATACTTTTTCATACTTGCAAAATTTTTACTGGTAAAAACGAGAACGATGTTCGCGCGTGCACCCAGCGTGAACTTGAGTATGCGTGACCAAGTTCAAGTAGTAAATCAACATGATCAATACCGCGAGCATTTGTTTTCCATTCTTTAAATCCCTCATCTTCTGGGACTCATCTCTAATCCTTATGTCTTTTCAATCGCTACAACGTCTTGTTAGATGACTAAGTTACTCGTGTCGAGACTTAACTATGAGCAGAGAGATCCCGGTAACAGTTCACCCCGAGTTCAAGCAGGGAAAACCCCGCATTTTCTCTCGATCCTCGAGTTTGCCCAGTAGACCGAAACTGAAATTGGTCGTGGAAACTGTTTCAAACCCGTGCGAGGCTTCTAAAGAAAGATCTTCAAAGACAGCACACGAAAACACACAAAACACCGATGATTCGTCGAAACAAAGGAAAAATGGAAACATAAAAAATCAGCAATACAAATTGTGGAAATATAGTTTGCCTGAACATTTTCAGCGAGTTCAAAAATCGAGTGAAGATGAGCCTTGTGAACAACAAAATCACACCGAACGAAAAGAACAAAGAAGACATTTTTTCAGAGAAAATCCATTTGTTGGAGATTTGCAGAAGGTGTTTGAAGATCATTACTTGTCCGGATCAAGTCTTCCTGTAAGACTGGGAAGAAGAAATACGTATAGTGCCAGAAGTTTACGAGAAACTTCGCCCTCCGCGCCAGAGATTAGTAAAATATCTCTACCCAAGACGTCTTTCAGTATTCCCATTCAGGTTGAAGTCGATGAGAAAGTAAAAGGTGGGGGTGAAAACGGAGAGGAGATTCTAAAAGAAAATAAAGTGATCGAGGCAGATGGCAAAATAGAAGATGCCTGCGGCTCAGAAAGCGTTCAAGATGAAGAAAAAACTACCAAGGAAGCTGAGGTCGATATGAAGAAGGATAATTACACTGTACTCGACATTGACAACGCTTGCGCCGTTAGTTTTGACAAAAAGGACTACTTCGATATGGCTACGAGCCAAGAAGCTTTGGGAAAATCTTATTTCAACGGTAGAGATGTTGGGGAGGAAATCACCAAGACCAATACTGAACAATTTAAGGAATACATTAAAGAATACACAGACAAAGGCGATGAGTCTCAAAGTGAAGACTCATTACCACTGGAATTTTCAGTTGAAAATGAAAGCAAAAATAAACTGTTAATAATTCAAAGTATTCTCAAGAAAGCAGAAAAGCTTGAAAAGGAAGTACTTGCTTTTGATGAAAGTAGCAAGAGTAAGGCGTACCTAGCTATTGAAGAAAAACTTACGCGTCTTTTAATCGAATTGGATGGCATTGAAGCAAATCGAGACGAAAACATCCGCTTGACAAGAAAAAGGGCTGTGCAACAGTTGCAGAGAGCACTAACACAACTGGAAGAAAACATTTCGTGCAGAGGCGTTCAAAACAACGAAGACAAAGATTGGTCTCTAGGCATGAACAGATGCGAAAGTATCTAGATTTAATTTCAGCTCCCCTGGCTATTTCCGTCTATAAACAGCTTTTCATGAAAAAAATGTGTATTCTACTGAAAACATAGTAGACATATATTGGACAAGCATTTACCTATTACATATCTCGAAAACAATTAATTTAGACTCTGTACTATGATTGATTAGAAAATAATTTAAAATTTTCCCGAACGCTTTTGTTCCAGAAATGTCTATCCAAATCTTTTGAAATATTTTGAAAACTTCCTAGCAACACCTGACAAAAAAAAAACGATGTTTGTGACAACTACCGACAAAAATTACAAAAGACTCCATGTGGTCTCTTAATTTTTTTTTTTAACATTCTTAGCTACTTGCCCAGAAGGTTCAAAAGTCTTAGACAAAATAGATCCGTTTTGCATGTTTTTCATCTTTTTTCTGTCAGGAGGAGGAAGGATGTTTATTGTTCGATATTTTGTGATGGACGTCTAATTAAACTCGCTGTCTCCTTTTCAATTAGGGGTATATGCCATAATTTATAATACTACGTATACTAGTTCACTTCTAAGGAATCTGTGGTTACGAAAAACTAATTTGTCAGAACACAGTTACGAAAAATATCCTGCAAAGCTATTTAAAATTTAATGTCATATGTATTACAGCACGCAATAGTGACGTCGTGGAAAATTCTTCACTACTAGAACGCGCCTGAGAGGCCTAAACGAGTTGTTTCTAGAGTGGTTTTTTTTTTCCTCGTCTGCTGACAACAATAAACTGATTTCTAAAAAAACATTTATATTTAACCACAACAATTTAAAATAACCCAAGTATTCCTTCATCTATTTCATCAAAGAATTGTTTTACGTGTTTTAAAGGAGAAATGAGATGTTTTCTGATGTGTTGAATGTTGAGTGATAACATAGTTTACAATTAAACACCAAAATAGCTAATCAAGTCATAAGTAAAAACTTCTCGATATTTCAACAATCAACTCGACATTGGTTCAAAGAAAGTCATTAAAATTACCTATCCGAAATTTTTCATCATCCGTGACAACACGCAAAGCCTACTAATAAATGTAGGATTGCATAACATTTCAGTAGCAGACAATCGTTGTTTGAGTTTTTCGTTTAAAATATCTCCTATACAGAGTGTTATACATGGTATAAATGCAGTATTAGTCCTCGCCAGCGGGGAGAGCATCTTCTAACTTCTTTATAAACTTGAGTCTAATTTCTGTTGTCTCGTCGCCTCTTAACGAATCATGAACAAACCAAACATCAACTTCCATTTGTACCTGAGAGGGAAATAATGCAAAAAAAGATTATTTGTTTCCACCATGTCAGCAGTTTTTGAAGAACGAGGAGATACAGACTAGGCTTTACAGCAATTTATGAGATAACTCAATAATTTTTGGGTTTCTAGGAAATTTGACAGACCTCATTACTGAGCTGTAATATTAGTTACTACATGCCTAAAATGTCAATTATTGATATGTTCTAATAATTTTATCAGGTCTTGTTAAAGCAAAACAAGGATCTTCACAAGTAAGCTACAATTTAAGCAACTGCAGAAAAGATGCTTGACAAAATTCAGGCTTTGATAGGATTCAGACCCATGCCTACCAGATACTAGTTGGGTGCTATTTGCAAATGATATAATATGACTGTAAGTGCAATTTGGGGTTAATAGGCTCCAGTAAAATTTTCAAAGACAACAAAATTGCACAAGCCCTTTAATCACACCAAATGGCAAGAGAAATCATGCTAGTACTTGTTAATGATGCACATGAAAAAATTTCACAGAAAGTCGAGACAGACAAAATTTTGAGAGCATGCACAAGTGTTACAACTTTGCACTCGTGTTGCAACTTTGCATATGTGTTACACGAAAATGCACTTGTTTTCAGCCAATCAGAACCACCTAATTTTTCCATGTGCATTATTCACCCTTTACCTCACAGAAGTGATTAGCATGTAACTTCTCCATACAATATCCATTAATTTAATTTGAGAAGTGTTCACTAAGTGGAAGGAAAGTTTCAAACCCGCAGTAAAAGTCGTCCTGTTCGAAAGGACATATCAACACGCCTTGGACTCTTACCATTTCAAGGGCTCCCCTCAGGACACCACAAAGTATGTTGGAGAAAAGAAGTCCTTCATGTCCTTCTGGCAACTCAGCAAACTCTGCCATGGGATTGTTGTCTAGTATTAAGGAAAATTCATCTGATGCTGCACTCCAATTTGTTACCACTGGTGAAATACCCAAGAACATTTTAAATCCCAACTGTTAAGAAAAAGGAAAAAAAAGCAAATAGTAAAGAAAAACATCACTTTCAGAAATTAAGCATATATTTTTTAAAATAAATTTAAAAGAGACTGTAAAAAAATTTAAAGAGGTACTGTCAGTTATATATTTTTTCTATACTTTTCAGCAGAAGTAGGGAAGGGGGATATTGAAAATTCAAATTTGTTGCTAAATAGGGAGTTAAAAAATACTAAGTCAACATGGTGTGGTCACTGATTTTGTTCATTATTAGAGCACACTAACATACTTCCAAGCATTCAGGCTTGGGACTCCATAATTCACCTCCACCTCAGACATCCCTCTGTGGTTTTGGTATTTTGTGAGTCCTGACTCACCAAAAACATTTTAAGCTACACTTA